GTCTTATATAGAACCTTCATACCCCGCGTATGGTCCGAGTATAGAGTAGTATAAGCCTCCCTTATACTTCCTCATACTCCGGTAGTATAGAGTAGTATAAGCCTCCCTTATACTTCCTCATACTCCCTAGTCACATGATCTTCTGTAAGGAAGAAATCCTTGGATCGCCTAGCTACCCTAAGCGATCCCCATTTGCTATAAGAAATCTGAATGTGCCTGTCGAGGGTTGCGCCTTTTTATTATGACAAGTATCACGTGAACACGTGATTCGTGACAATTGATAACTAAGTTGAGCACGAAGCTCCTATCTAATGGCAGACGTGCCAGTCTTATACAGATCCTTTCATGTTCGTGGATCGTACTGGATCATGCAGATCTACGCTCCTGGATCGTTACTATAAGCTAATTTACTACGCCTACTCGATTATCTATAAAGAGCTCTTAGACTTATATAAGAATTTTATACTTTAAATAATAGTAAAAGCTATTAATAATACTATAGGACCTAATAGCTTAATACTAACCCTACTTATGATTTAGTAAATATCTAAAGATAACTAATTATAAAACCTATTTAACTATAGTTACTTAGTAATCTACTATACTTTAAAAGGCTATAATAAAGGTATATAAGATTAAAACTAAATAGTAAGTTTAAGATACCCTTAATATATAAAATAGACCTTTAAATAAAGTTAAAAGATTTACTACTAGGATTAGAAGTCTAGATATATGTCACGAATCACGTGCTAAAGGGCATGCCCCGCGTCATGTGATGAGTTAGTCCAGACGGCGTTCCGACAGGACAGGCACATCAGGATAGTTATAGCAAATAGGGATGCTTAGAGTAGCTAAGCGATTCAAGGATTTCACATGTAGAGGGTCACGTGATATATGCAGGGCGACATGGTCGTTGTCGACTTTGTGACTTAAGGAGAACGAAGATTCTATATAAGACTGGCACGTCTGCCATTAGATAGGAGCTTCGTGCTCAACTTAGTTATCAATCTTATCATATTAGTTTGACATCTTTGATACAAGTAACGAGTTCACTTCCAAGTGAACAACCCGATAGTCTTCTTCTTATCATAGCATACCAACCAGCGAACACCCAGCCAAGTTTAGTTAGCCAGTTTGAGTATTCGTTACACCTATATATATATGTTAAATTTCAGGTTTAAGGTATCTACTTATTATCTTAGTAGTACTATTTAATTAGCGCGGAGTATATCGGACTAAGCCCCGTAGCTAGGATTAGTAGTACTCCGAACGTTCCGACCGCCGAAATAGGAAATCGTAAACCTTAAATTTAAAATATATATATAGGGCGTTAAGGAGATAAGGAACAATACGACAACTAATAGATCTAGCCCTCTCGTACACCTAGATTTAGAAGGCCGTATAGTAATACCCCCCTCTCCCCCCGCCCTTCCCCCTACCCTCTCGAGTATATACTATAAACACCTTCCGAAAGAGCTATAAACCACGTATTCGCACTATAAAAGAGTCTTATCTTCAGAAGCTAATTTGCCCTTGCCAGAGGGGCTGTTTACAGCCCTCGCTAGAAGGACTTTTATAACACTCCTAGGGCTACAAATTCGCATTTTTATCCTACTTCTTAAAAGGACTTTCGGGTCTATTTCGACATATTTGTCCTCTTTACATGGGACTTTCACTAGCGTTTTTGAGGCTAATTCGCCCCTACTAGAATAGCTGTTTTCAGCGGACCCTAGGGCCACTTTAGCCGAAGTCGCACTTTTGTCCCATTTTTACGTGGGATTTTCAGGTGTACTATTTATTCCAAATCTTCCAACTTCTAAGGCTAACCCTACGTTAATTGTTGGCCGACGTCACCGATTAATTTCTGGATTTTACCCTCTTATTATACTATACCGAATAGCCGAGACCCCTAGCTACATATATATAGTATAGTTAGAACTCGAACTACTATTCTAATTCTACGCGTACGTAGACTAAAGCGATAAAGATCCCCTCCCTTTAAGGATACTAAAAGAGACCCCCTTATTAGATATATCGAGCCCCCCCCCTTCTGCCGACTCTAGTAGAGAGGAAGCTTTGCGAGGGTTACTTACCTTTATATCCTTACCTTATATACCCGCCTTTTCGATAAGACAGATAGCATTCCCTCTTCTGTAGCTAGTACTTATCTTTTCACGACTTCTTTTCAGTTATACTAGTATTATAATATATTTATAATTTAATAACATAATAATCTAGGGCTATTTATACGCCTAGAATCTATAGGATAAATAGAATAATATAATTATTAGAACTACTGTTTTTACACATTTGTTGTTTCCTTACCTTTGATATCTCTAGTATCTGTATACTAACAGGTATAATACTACCCAATGTGAGGGTTGGAACCCATGTTGGAGGCTCGGGCCATGCCCTCGCTAAGCACTGACCAAAGTCCTCGTTAAGCACTGACCAAAGTCCCTGCTTAGCACTGGCCATTACCCCACTTTCAAACAGGTTTCTACTTTTCCACACTTTCTTGTTTTGTTCTTCTGACATCATGTATTCGTCATTCAAGTTTCTTGCAAGTTTCTTGAAATATTCAGGAAGCTCTTCCTCTCTATATATAGAAGAAGAGCTCGCATGTATGTAGTCTTCACGCACTTCTTAATTGAATATTCGAAACCACACCTTTGAGCTATTCGAGGTCTGGCCTCTCACACCCAACTCCTCTATCGTTTATATCAGATAAAGGGGAATAACAATAATATCTATAATAGACAGGAAACAAAGCCTTTTATACTTACAACCACATCCCACTCATCCCACACCTCCCCAAGCCACAACAAAAGCAGATTGTATTATAGAATAGTATTACCATACATCCACGTGTGTATTAATATAATATCCAGGTCTATATCTACGCCTGGATTCCACGTAGCAGACAGAGAATTACTGATATACTACTACTCCTACTACTTTAACACCCTTAATCATCCTTTGTCGTGAACTTTTATTGATATTTCGTACCTATAATAGCATCTCCTATATACGCTTATTATCCTACCAAGTTATACTAACAAAAGCATATCACATCCACAACAACCACAACCCCAAGCCTCATCACACTCATCCCACACCCCCCTAACAAGACCTAGATTCAGGGTTTACCATAGCACTAACCCCCTTAGCACTGCCACATATCATTTAGCACACATCCTCATTCCCCATAAATCCTGCTATTAATACCATTGTTCGGTAATCTTACACCTAGTATAGTACTCATAAAAGATGTGTTTTGCGTATCGAGGGTGACTAAGCAAGCTTGCATATATCGTTTGATCCATTCGATCACTTGTCCACAACAACAATAAATCCACTGATTGTTGTTGTACGCTCACAAAGAGCACTTTCTGCTTACCCCTCCACCATCCCCAAGCTAGCCACCAGATTTAGTTAGTGAGATAGGCCTTAATTGAGCGCTTGGCAGCCTGGGCTCCACTTGATGAGGCTGCGAATAGCCTCACAAGTGCCCCAGGGGCTGTTTGACCCAAATAATATATCCTCTGAATAGTTATCAGAAGTTCAAGATAGCTTACTAACGCTTACAGAGTATTAATAAAAGCTTTATACGATGGAATCATGCAATGTGAAGAATAAATAGGAAGATAACACAATTCCATAAATCATGCATACACCACCACCTATCCTTTGCCCTACGTACTCTGTAGTCGCAATTGCCTAACAGCGTCGAGCCAATCACGAAATCACGCATACAGAACATCAAAGAAGAAAATAAAGTAGGAAGAAAGGAATAAACTCATAGGATTACCGACGTAAAACTCAATTCCCCTAGCCAACCGAAGGATTCCAACACAACGCCACCATCTCAACAACACCTACCAGCCAATCCATCTCACACCATTCATCATCACAATCCCCAATTCCCATACCTTTCAGTCAAACACATCTCCACCACTACAATCCTCAATTCAAACTAGGTAATCGGTTCCCCTCAACCTCCTTCCGAAGCCGTCGATGGATCCGCAGTATTCACTCGCTCTCCTTTCTTGGGAAAGAACCTCCGACCGAACTTTTGCATCAATTGGATCTCTCCTGCAACGTTATGGGCTGTAGTATGTTCAGGATGTTCGATAGTGGTATTGATGTAAGCCTTCGGAGCCTGGAACCCTCCAAAGATAAGATGATCTTCGTGCTCTGCGGCATCTAATGATGGAGGTCGTCCTAAGGGATTAGGGTCATCGCCTCCGGTCTTGGTGGTTTGTAGTAGCTCGACGGTGCGTTCAATCTGTCCAAGTGAACGCCCAACACTTCGTCGCGCTTTATCAGTGAGTCTCTGAGCCTTTTCGTTGTCAGCATTCCCGTATTTAGTGGCGAATTTCCGAGTGACTTACAGAGGTTTTGATATTACTGGCTATGGTACCCACTCTGCCCCGGCTTGGATCAGATCTTGGTTGCTGGTTCTCGACTGGTGGACAGTATCCAGTGCTACATGCATCGAGGCCAAATTTCCCTTTACGAACATGATTGAAGCCGTGACGCCATATACGATATATGATGGGTTTGTTGACAAGGACCGTCTGCGAAAAAGGGATGTCTCAGGATATTGAATTAGAAAGCAGAGGGTGATTCGAACTTACCATTGTAAACATATCCACTTGTGTCCAGATCAATTGTTGAGCTTGCCATTGAGACGCCATCTGTTGAACAACCACAATTCTAACGCCCACGATGATCATGTTGAAGCAGCACAGTAGAAAAAGCGAGGATACATGCATTACGGAACTGGATATCTTTGGTCAGAAGGAATCAGCAGAGACCATGACGAGTATTACCGGAAAGGAAACGAAGCTCGAACAATGGCTGGTATTGGAAGCAGCATCAAAATCAAATTCGTGAAAATATGTGACTGTCTTTTATTAGCCCACCATATTTTCAATTGTTCCGAGAACACACATACCGATCCAATCACATACACGCTCGGTAACTGCTGATCATTAGCTCACAGACAGAACCCTGTGATTCAATTCCTTACTGCTTGCTTTGATACGTTAGCATAGCGTCTAGCAACGGAGAAGAGACACATACAGCACATGCTGGGATATTCGGCTCCACTTGCCAATACAACTGTACAGGAGTACAGCCTAAAAAGACTGAGCACAAGGAAGCAAAGTAGGTTGTTGCAAGCACAAGAGCCGTTCCTTTGAGAAACATGCCCTCGACATGGCTATCCGTCATGATGCGTGTATAGAAAATAGTCTATGTCCGACTTAGAAACCGCTTTTTAAAACATCGAAGCCCCAACTGACCATGCATGCCTTCAATATCCATATATAGGTGATGTAGAATAACCGACCGATCATAACGTACATCGAACCAAGGGTAGCTTCATCATGTGTCAGCCGATCGCTCTGTCGTATATGCACGGTAAGTCCCACCATTCTGAAGGTCGTCAGGAGATAACTCCGAAGGATCGTTTAGGATTCGAAAATTAGTGCCATTGAAGTACTATTCCAGCATCAGACTCTGCATAAAACCTCCAAAGTTGAAGGCCATCCAACTCACAGCGACAGGATTGGTTGCGGATGCGACAGCGTAGAAACAGATCGAGCCAAGCATAATATAATCATCGAGCAAGTGATCTTCATGTTTCAGGCGTCGCAGAATGAATCTCGAGATGATGATAAAGAAAGATACTCCTGTGAGAGCATAGGCGACACCGACGGTGGCGCCGGGCCAGTTCTCCATCGAAAGATTTCGTTGCAGCACTAAGATATCAAGGGCGGAGAGAAAATCAGGTCGAGTTGATTGTTATGATGACCCATTTCGTTGGGAAGAATAATATCGAATCAAGATCTGCCAGATCTTCGGGTTGTGGCTGTAATGCAGGAGCAAAGATTCGCTCCTGCCGAGACTCGCTAAAGAACAACACCACCTTTCGTTAACTAGGCAGGGAAAGAGCGACCGCAAAGAACAGACTGGCCGACGGAGATATGCTACTCAAAATTTTGAGAGATAACAGGTCTCCGCGCCTCCATCTTATCATCCCACCATCAATCATCGCTGTGAAACACGTGTAGATCATGCTCTATTTTGGCCGCCCACACGCTGCCACGATCTCCCACACACTCCACCACATCTATCGTGCGAGTTGAGAATCAGCCCTTGAAAGTCCCGAGTACGAAGAATCCGTCACAGAGCCCCCATTCAAGAAAGAGAGCAAGAGATTTATTAGGCTATGGTATAAATTGCAAAGTCCAAAAGAAAGAACCAAAAAACCCCCAGCAGACAACAAAAACAAGGATCAAGCACCCACGAACAAAAAACGCAGGGAACTTTTCTAGACCCTTTAAAAAAGAGAGGTAAAAGAACACCATCACCTTCTATAATACAGCGATCCCCAGATATCCCTCATGCATCCTAAAATGATCTTCATCTCCATCTTCGTTCAAGCCATTTTTCATCATCATGAAAAAAATTCAATCATGCCCAAAAGGAAAGAATCATGAGGGCTTCTCGCCCATGACATCGATATACCCCCTCCCCTTCTTCTTCTTCGCGGCCCCCTTACGACTTCCCCCCGTAGCAGGGCTAAGAAGATCATCGATACTACTAGCGTTACTCATACTAGTCCCCGGACGACTAGGTGGCGCACTCGGAGAACGACCCGCGCTGGTGTTACTAATGCTTCGACTCATTGGCGCAAACCCAGGAGGTGCCAGGGCAGGAGGAGCATCAGAGGAAGGTCCATCGTCCTGTGAGAGTGATCTTGGTGCCCTACCAGCATCTGACACAGCGCGTGATGCTGGAAGAGGTACCCGTGTCGACGGGGGACCAACACTAGACGTTCTAGGCGGTCCAGCTTTTGGTGGAGGAGGGGTGGCAGATGCAGTCGGAGCTGTATCACCCCCTTTTTTGTTGACCCATCTCTTCAGGTCAGGATCATAATAAAACGAACTCGCCTCTCCAAGCTTTGCGCGGATCGGTTTGTTCGAAGCGGGCGCATCAGCGGTATCTTTTTTACCACCGCCAAACCAACCCCCGAGTCCCCAACCCTTCTTAACGGGTGCTGCTGCTGCTCTTTTTGCTAGAATATTGTTAGCCATACTCGAGGGAGTATGATCAAATATTGACTTACCATCTTCTTCAGCGGCCTTCCGGAAAGCTTCGTCTGCTTCCCGATCCTTTTCCGCCTTGGTCTTTTCTCGTGGAGCCGAAGTATTATTATTCGTCATGCCATCATCGTAGTCATCGTCCATGAACGATTTTTTCTTTGGTTTGGTCTCCACAGGAGAATCAGGTTCGTCGGCAGGTTCATAGGGAGTGTAGCTACTGGTAGGTGGTTCATAACCACTGGATGCCGGCGGCTCATACCCAGATGACTGCTGTCCACCATACGATGGCTCGGGTGGGGTATGCGGCGTGGAAATCTGGTTACCATTGACGTTGTTGATCGGCTGTGGGGACGAAAACATGTTTGGATTTTGCTCAGTTATAGGCGTGCTATATTGAGCAGCCGAGTATGGTGAATCGCTAGAGCTAAAAGGCACGTAAGAAGACGGGGGTGTTGGTTCTTGTTGTGCTTGGGGCATATAACTGTTCGCTGCGGGTTGGAAAGTTGGATTGTAGCTACTACTCGCAGATTGAGAGCCTGGGCGCTGTTCCGACATGTTACGCTGGGGCTCATACCGCTGATATTCACCAGAAGATCTTTCTTCCATAGAAGTACGATGCTGTGATGCCAACGATCCACTACGGGGTTGATCCGGTGTGTACGTTCGCCCTGGAGCGTACCTTGAGCTAACTCTGGTTGCTGGTACAGCCGCGATAGCACCGTTGATACCCAATCCTTGATTGTAGCTTCCGTAAAGATCGGCATTAGATGGCGCGCGACTGATGTTAGGAGTGTCGCCAGCAATTCTAGAGAAGATATCGCCTCCGGTTGCCGTACTGCCGCCGGTAGTATCGTTCTCATCACCAGCCACAAATTTGCTCAGCTTGTCCCAGACAGAACCGGACACCTTATCAATACTTGGCTTCGACAGCCAAGAAGACGGTTCGGATTTGGGTGACTGCTTCAAACGTTTACTAAGATCGTCTAAAGCTGAGATCAATAGAGCGTGATGGTATGGGGACCGTCTTGTTTGAGAAGTAATTGAGGATGCAACTGACTCGCAGTACTGAAGGGCATTCTCCCGATATCCATATTCTGCGAGAATAGAGGCGTGCTGCAACTTGTAGATAGACAAATGTGGATAGGCAATTGCCACACTCGCAGTGCTGGAGAGCGACATTCCATACTCAAAGACTTCGCTTAGTAGTATTGGCTCCATCTCCTTGTCGAACTCGTATGGTTGCCTGAGGTGATCAGACCCGACGAGAACGATATTTGAAAGCGGATCATCAATGCCTCCAAATGCGGAAACACTTCTTGCGAATAGAAAGCAGATGTGGGCAGCTTCAGCTCTACCATATCCAGACAAAAGTTTCCCCAGAGCCTTCAACGCCTGGACATCGTCAATACTTCGATTACTTAACACGAGCCCAAGGGTCTCTCTCCACCTGTCAAGGCCATCCATGGCATCTTTGGATGGCCCAGCTGAGTTTGAAGTGCTGACCATCTGAAACCCTGCACGAGCTGATGCCGGGACAAGCTCATCGATACTTTCTTCAAAATTGCCGGCAAATACCTCATACAAGGCGGCCAAGGATTCCGTATTCTCTCCTGTACTCTTAACTTCCTTTTGCACAAACTCTTGGGCCACTTGCTTATAGAGTGCTTTGGAGACTGTATTGGCAATCAGCATAGCGTGAGCCCAAAGACGTTTATCAACTGCTTCCCAAACAGCCTTTTCGCGCTCTCCTCGAAGTAGGTGCTTGCGCAGTTGATCAACAGCAGTAGGGTCCACCGGGTCCGCTCTTGCAGTAGAATTCGACGGTTGAGAGATACCCGAAAGATCAGCGCCAGTAGCATAGAGTGGGGCAGCATTGGTAGGCTCGCTGTCTAACCCTGGCGATAACACCGCTCGAACGGCCTTATCGACAACAGCATTTCCTTCAAGAACACCATCATTCTCAATAAATACTAGTAAGATTTTCCACAGTAATATACGCTCTTCTGTTCGCTTGTCTTCATGAGAAAGATGCCCGCCCATCCGTAGGTATGAAGCATTATCTTCAAGAATTCGAATGCCAGCAGTGAGCCAGTTCATGACATCCTTCTTTTTTGACTTGCCCCTGAGCGGTCCAGGGAAGGTAGTTAGCCTTTCTGGCAGCGGGTCCACTTCCTTGATGTTCCTGATCTTGACTTCACCCGGACTTCTCATGATCATCGGTGTGGTTCGATTCATACCGTATCTAGGAATGTCTTTGGGAAAAGATGTCATGATGGTTCCACCAACACCCCAAGCAAACACAGGAGAGCCCTTCCATCTTTGCAACGGATCATGTTCCCGACCGTCGGTCGGTGGCACATAATTCATTACTTGGGAGACCGCTCTTGGTCGTCCTTGCGCAGGCATCATAGGAACTGGAGCAGGCCCATATGGTGATTGGGGAGATACCTGGGCTTCAACAGAAGCTGGACGTTGATATGGATCAAGTCTGGGTCCTGTGAAATGTGTGGTAGGCGACTGACTTTGGGACCTTTGTGGTGGCGCGAACTGGGGAGGGGTATTTGTATTGTTTGACAGTTGTTGTGGAAGGTAGTTTGACGGGGCTCGTTTTGGGGGAGACATATTACTTCTGGGGCCATAATTTTGTGGCGGGGGAGGAGTCTGGGAAACGCTACGAGGTGATCCTGGTGGCAAACGTTGTAGGTTGGGAGATTGCAGTGACCCATAATTTTTGGGCGGAGACTGTTCATTCTCATCTACTTCTTGAGGAGGTGGGAGATGGTTGTTTCTTAGATTTGATTCATAGCCCGAGGAGCTACTCCGCCTATCATTCACAACTTCTGCACCGTAAGACCGAGCTTCAAGGTTTCTCTCGAAATGGGCAAGCGGACTTGACGTTCGGGGTTGATGAGGAAGAACTGGGGGAGAAGTAATACTGGCAGAAGAATTGTATGGCTGAGATTGTTGACGTGGCATCGAAGGAGGAGGTGCGGGTGAGAAACGAGACAAAGCGACTGGAGGAGGAGCAGTCTTACTAGTAGGCGGTTGTTGGGGAGGAGCCGGAGAGTACCGCGAGGAAACAGACGGGGGTGAGGCCTGGTTTGCTGGAAGGGCAGCATATGGACTCACACGTTCAGGTGCAACTAATCCTGCTGAATGAGGGGGAGGTTGATGTTGAGTAGCGGGTTGAAATGGTGGTTGGAGGGCATTTGGTGGAAATTGAGAAGTTGTAGTTGGCCCATACGAATCAGGTGGGCTAACATGAGACTGTCGAGGTGCAAGCTTAGGTCTACTAGCTATTGGCAAATCCTCGAAGAAACCGCTATTCGACGAAGTGTTTCTCGGTGGTTGTGCTGCAGCAACCGGCTGTTGCTGATTTGGATGGGAACCGTTGTTACTTGCTGACGGCAGCAGACTGGAAGGCAAAGCTGTTGGCGGAGGTGCTTGTGCATACATACTTGAGCTTCTAGATGGAGGGACACCCGGTGATAGACCAGTTACATTCCTGCCACGGCTGATATTTTGCATGCTAGGCCTTTTGCGAGGTTTGATAACCTCCATTGGTAAATCATATGGCGAGGAATAACCTCCCTTGGCCTGCGCAGCGAAGCTTTGAGCTTTTGGGACGCTAGGTCGGTCAGGGTGCATCTGCTGCTGAGGGGGAAAGGTCGACGCTGCGGCCACATAAGGCGTAGTCCTTGATGTGGTAGCAGCTGGCCTTGAGAGATCTGTCAAAAGAGGACCCGAAGGCACATAGGTATTTCTCGCTTGAGGCACTGGTGGAGTATTTGCTCCCGCCGGTAAATATTTACTCCCACCACTGCTAGCCCCGGGTGGGAAGTTTGTATGTCCATTAACCGGGGCCACAATAGGCTGGTTTCCAGATGGAAAAGTGTTTGTACTTCCATCTTGATCATCGACATCTTCTAAAAACCCCTCATCATCACTTCCAAACAGGGTAGCTGGGTCCAGTGCGCTGGTGTTTTCGGGTTCCTCGTCTGGCAAAAGGTCATCATCGTCGTCATCCAAAAACTCATCCGCCAATGCGGCTTTCCATTTTTCAGCCAGATCAACTTCCACATCATCCAGTTGAACATCCAATGGGTCCTCTGTCCCATTCTGGGTAGCAGAGACGGAATCGTGCTGCGAGATCTCAACATTTTCTTCTGGAATTGCAGGTGATATTTGATCATGAGGTTGATAATGCATGGATTCCATGACTTGAAAGGTAGATTTTCTCTCTAGTGACCCAGGCTCTGTATTTAACGTGGCTGAATCCTCCGTTTTGCCAACTTGTGAGAAAAAGTCGTCCTGTTCGACTGCCTCCTCTTCCAAAAATGACGGTGTTATAGAGTCATTACGGGGGCCTTCCGGGTGAACTAACGGAAGCCCTTCCTCGAAACGAGCCTGAGATTCCTGATCGTCATCTTGTCTGTAATTTCCACCATAAGCCTGCCCGAAAGTTGGAGAATCAACAATATTTGGATCCGCAGGCCTTGAAGCTCCTAGAGTCGAGTCTGGAGCTGAGGATTGGTTGAAAAAATCGGCTTCATCATTATTTGTTTCGTCTCCAAAAAGATCCTTTGGTTCCTGCTCGACTTCATTCATGATGGCCTCTACCTGACTGTGAGCAAGAAACTCGTCGTTATGCACTATCTCGGGATTGTGTAGAGGTGGTACAGCGGGAAAGGAGTTCGTTCGGTCTGATTTCGCCATGAGTCTGAAGGGGTCCGTATCCGTAGTTTGGATGTTCCATTCCGGGTCTACATCATCGTCCTCGCCCCAATTGACCTCATGGGAGACGGTCCTTGTAAACGAGTCTGTACTTAAATGCCCATTTTCCTGTCTGGAGTTCGCTGGCGGAAACTCGGGTTTCTCTTCCTCGGATGGTTGTGGCACATCGACTCCCTTATGAGATGGCGCCTCCAACTCGACTCCTCCCGGGCCTAACAGAGAAGATGTAGGCGCATTACGAGGGTTTTCTGAATCGCTCTCACTATGGGCTGAAGTTTCAATCGTTTGTTGGTTGTCCAGATTCTCCGTCTTCTTCAAGGATTCCGGCTCCAAAACGGGCGCGCTGGCTTCTGTATGTGAAGCTTCAATGGGTTCCTGGTGCTGTTCCACGGCTAATGCGCCTCCTCTCAGCGCCGGTGATGTTTTCGTCTCGATGACATCTGCTAATGAATTCGGCATCATAGCTGGGTGCCATGATGCAGCTATAAACTCGGAAGGCATCGCGACAGGTAGGTGGTAAGGAAAGAATGGAATACTAGGGGTTGTTAGCACGTCATGGTCTATACACTTCCGAGGCGCCACTTGTCAATAGAAGGGCTGCGGGTAGACAGCATGGCATGTGGGAGCTATGGGTACGTACTAGTACAACAACTGCCGCTCATGGGACAATCTAATTAATTAGGGTTAGGGCAACGGCGAAAATCTCAGCCATGTTCTAGCTTCCACGGATTCTTTCTGAAAATTTGGTGCGATTCTGAGTCTGGGGGAGATGAGACGTGGAGATAGGAGAAGAGATTCCAAGCCCGCGCCGCTGAAGCCACATTTCCGGGGGAGCTTGACAGCGTGATGGTGACTAAGGAACGCTGAGTTGCAGCTGTCAGCCTTGTGTTCAGCTAAAGGACAGCCTGACACTGACAGGGGAAAGAGCCCGAAGAGCACCCCTACCCCCGGGCAAAGGTTAAAGCAGCCAAGGTCACGTCACGAGTAAGATGCAGCACCCGTGGATCCGTGGACCCCAGGGCTCCCGATCTGGCTGAGACAACGACAAGGCTACTGTGGCAGTAGAGCAGGCATAGCAAGCGAGCAAGCATACGAGTCCACGACAACCACGATTACGACCCCCAATTCCACTACCACGCACTCTCCACTGGTACGGAGAAGATACACTCGTTCTGATACTCTCACAAGCGCCATCACCGCATCGATGAGGCATGTCGTCGCGACCTCTTCATTCCCCAGATGCCCCCGAATCACCCGTTGATGATTCCGATTCGGACCTTGACTTAGATATACAGGAGCTCGATCCTATTACCACTACCTCACAGTCTCTTGCCGCGAGGGATCGCAATAGCAGCAGTAGCAGCGCCAGGGAAGAGCGAAGGGGAGGCAATATACCCTTGAGAAATTTGCGTATGGGTGGCTTGCGTGGGTTGGGAAAACGGACTCGCGGTTATGGGGATCTAGGCAGACGAAGGGATACCGAGGGCGATGATTTAGAAGGCCTTCTGGGAGATGATCATGATGGAGATTCGAGCCGGCTCTCGGCAGGTAGCCATAGGGATGAAGATGCGCATCTTTTGTCCCCGCGTAGACTGCGGAACAAAACGAGTGTTGGATCTCTCAAAGAACAATTTGGGTCACGGATGCGACTACCAAGTTTTATGTCCCATGCGGGGCCTTCTCAAACATCACCAAAGGAAGATGAGGAGAATGAGGAGGAGCACGATCCGGCTTCGTCGCGAACGGTGATAGTTGGCGCAATACAAGCCGCGCGATTTCCCGCCAACGCAGTCTCAAATGCGAAATACACTCCCATCAGTTTCTTACCGCGAACTTTGTATAACGAATTCTCTTTCTTTTTCAACATGTACTTTCTGCTGGTTGCGCTTTCGCAAGCCATTCCTGCTTTGCGTATAGGATACCTTTCGACTTATATTGTACCATTAGCAGGCGTATTGGCAATTACTCTGGGGAAAGAGGCGTATGATGACATTGAACGGAGGCGGAGGGACTCGGAGGCCAATTCTGAGGGCTATACGGTTCTCGCCTTTGACAGACCGGGGCTTGGAAACGCCGAGAGATATCATGCGAAGAGGAAGTTGAAATCAAAGGCAAATGCAAAGTCTAAGAGGAGGTCTTTAGTGACACAAGATAGGTTATCGGACATCCAGGAAGAAGAGGATACTGCTGAAAGTCAAGCATCTCGTTCATCACCAACTTCTGTTGTCCGTGAGTTGACCAAAAAGGCCCGCGATTTGAAAGTTGGAGATGTTTTGAAATTAGGAAAAGATCAGAGAGTTCCTGCCGACGTAGTGATTTTGAAGAGTTATACAAATGAAGCGAGCCCAGTTGAGGAAATTGTGGAAGAAGCAATAAACAGCAGTCAGTCACTGGTGGACCCAATTTCAGATCCACCCATCGACCAGACTAGTGGCAGCATGGCGGAAGCGCGTGAGTCGACTTCAGCCCTTGGAAACATTCCAGCAGCAGATGCGGGAGGTGTAGGTGAAACATTCATCCGAACAGATCAACTGGATGGAGAAACGGATTGGAAACTTCGACTTGGATCTCCACTTACCCAACACCTTGACCCATCCGAGTTCACACGACTGCGTCTCGTTGCCGGGAAACCAGACAAGAAAGTAAACGAATTTCTTGGGAGTGTTGAGTTGTTACCAAAAGGAGCAGGGTATGATCCTCACATCCCAAAGATGAGCCCTCTTAGCAACGAGGGCGGGGCTCCTGATCGCAGCAACCAAAGCTCGGCGCCGTTAACCATCGACAACACGGCTTGGGCCAACACGATCCTAGCTTCCAATGCGACAACCTTAGCTGTCATTGTTTATACAGGCCCCCAGACTCGATCGGCTCTCTCTACCTCTGCCTCGCGATCAAAAACCGGATTGTTGGAATATGAAATCAACTCGCTTACGAAGATTCTTTGTGCCCTCACCCTTACATTGTCCATTGTGCTCGTTGCTCTAGAAGGCTTTGAGCATGTAGCGGGTGTCCAGTGGTATGTCAAAATCATGCGCTTTTTAGTCTTATTTTCCACAATCGTTCCCATCAGTCTTCGTGTCAACCTAGATATGGGGAAAACGGTCTACTCTTCGTTCATCCAGCGGGATCAAGGTATTGAAGGAGCCGTAGTAAGAACCAGCACCATACCGGAAGAATTGGGTAGAATCGAGTATTTACTCAGCGATAAGACCGGTACATTGACCCAGAATGAAATGGAAATGAAGAAGATTCATGTCGGAACGGTTTCCTATGCGAACGAAGCTATGGACGAAGTGGCTACTTACATAAAGCAAGGCTTTTCTGTGCCAGCACCAGCCGATTCCACCCAGCCATCAATTCTAATCACCCCATCTTCTACATTCATCGCTTCCACCACTGTCACCGCAACTAGAACGAGAAGAGAGATTGGATCTCGTGTTCGTGATGTTGTTCTCGCGTTGGGCATATGTCACAATGTTACCCCGACCATAGAAGAACAGAATGGCGAAACCATCACATCTTACCAGGCCTCTTCACCTGACGAAATCGCAATTGTCAAATGGACAGAGGCTGTTGGTCTTCGTCTTATTCATCGAGACCGCAACGGAATGACACTTCAATCCGTCGATACTGGGCGACCTGTTGTTAGAGTTAGAACTCTCGAGATATTTCCTTTCACCTCTGATGGAAAAAGAATGGGTATCATTGTTCAATTTTTGGACGGCACAGAAACCTCTTCAGAGACCAATATCGAAGCAGGTGAAATTTGGTTCTTCCAGAAAGGAGCTGATACTGTCATGACATCCATCGTCGCTGCCAACGATTGGCTTGATGAGGAAACTGCCAATATGGCGCGTGAAGGGCTTCGAACCTTGGTTGTTGGTCGTAAGAAGATGTCTGTCCAACAATACAAAGAGTTTGCCTCAAGTTACAAGGAAGCTTCCGTGGCTATCAACAATCGTGATGCCGGCATGGCTAGAGTCGTTTCGCATTACCTTGAGAAAGATCTTGAGCTATTAGGTGTCACTGGTGTTGAGGACAAATTACAGCAAGATGTAAAACCTTCCTTGGAACTCTTACGCAATGCTGGAATCAAAATCTGGATGTTGACTGGCGACAAAGTGGAGACTGCACGATGTGTAGCAGTGAGCGCCAAACTTGTTGCCAGGGGACAATACATTCATACTATCCACAAACTAAAGCGAAAAGACCTTGCCCAAGATCACCTCGACTTTCTCAGAAGCAAACCAGACTCGTGTCTCCTTATTGATGGGGAGAGTCTTTCTCTGCTACTCACGCACTTCAGAACTGAATTCATTTCTTTGGCGGTCAAGTTACCAGCTGTCGTTGCTTGTCGTTGTTCGCCAACGCAAAAAGCAGATGTCGCTCTATTAATCCGCGACTTTACTAAAAAGCGAGTCTGTTGTATTGGCGATGGAGGTAACGATGTTTCCATGATTCAAGCGGCCGATGTTGGTGTTGGTATCGTTGGGAAAGAAGGAAGACAAGCCTCTCTTGCTGCCGATTTTTCGATAACCCAATTCTGCCATTTGACTAAATTACTAGTTTGGCATGGTCGGAACAGTTACAAGCGAAGTGCTAAGCTTGCGCAGTTCGTTATCCATCGTGGTCTGATTATCAGCGTATGCCAGACCATGTACAGTATCGCCATCAAGTTTGAGCCGGAAGGTTTATACAAAGATTGGCTACTTGTAGGATACGCCACCGTATACACCATGGCACCAGTATTCTCCTTGGTCCTCGACAAAGACGTCGACGAAAAGCTCGCAAATCTCTATCCAGAGCTCTACCGGGAGCTGACAACCGGCGCCTCTCTATCCTACAAAACCTTCTTCATCTGGGTTTTCGTATCCATCTACCAAGGTGGTATGATTCAAGGTCTCTCCCAGATCCTCACCGAGGTCGACGGTCCCCGAATGGTAGCCGTCAGTTTCACTGTCCTGGTGCTGAATGAGTTATGCATGGTTGCGTTTGAAATCACGACTTGGCATCCGGTGATGATCTTCAGTCTTGTGGGTACGCTACTTTTGTACCTGGGCTCCATCCCGTTCTTGGGTGGTTACTTTGATTTGGATTTTATTGTTACTTGGTATGTTTTCCTCCCACCCCCTCTTACCTCACTTTTACCCGTCTTGAAATTCCATAAACTAACGTGATCTAGGGGCTTCGTCTGGCGCGTTGCGGCTATCGGTGCGATATCGTTGATTCCTCCCTATGCAGGGAAATTGATTCGGCGCGCGATTAAACCGCCTAGTTATCGAAAGGTGCAGGGGATTTGAAATGGGCATTTCTTTTTTCTTTTTTCTTTTGTTTCTTCCTTTTGATCATGGGACGGTGCGAGGTAGGCATGCAGGTGTTTCATTTTCATTTATGTGGATTGGGTTGGGTTGGGTTGCATAGCGTTGGTGTTTATGTGTAGAGTATGTAGATACTCTTAGAGCTTCTCATTGAAATCTTTTTTTTTGGTTGTTGTTGTTACTGCTGCCTTTTTTTCCCGGATTTTGATTGTGATTGTGATTGTGAAATGGGTATTTTAAAATGTAAATCTTTGTAGCTTGATTTATCGGGTGTGAGGTTCTGGCGTTTTCTGGTGATGGGTTAGGTTTAGGTTGAGGATGCTAGGATGATAGGATGGTAAGTGAATTAGCCATGAGGTACTTGACTCGTGCAACTTTAGAAGTGGTTCAGAGAGGGGTAGAGGAGTTTATATGAAATTCCTTGTGGTCTTCTACGTTGGTGTCCCTATCCCACTCGCGTACGAGTATACACCGCTTTTCGCCCCTTGCATCAACATCCTTGCACATATTTGCAGGATACCCGGCAGAATGAACCTCGACCTCAAAGCTTCAATTCGACATCAATGGATGTCGCAAGGCTCCTCTCGACGCGATCGCTGACGCATATTGCTAGAGAGAGGACGATACGATTTCAGCCTTCTACTCGATCCGTGATCTCTCTACCTAGCGATGTTCGTCGCAGCCCATCACGGGGAGCTGCGCAGACGAGATTCTATCTACGACATGCGCGGGCGGGGGGTATGGGTATGCGGGGGACGAGGGTGGAAATGGGGATTCTGACAAGCTGCCTTGGAGAAGAGATGGGTTTTGGATTTGGGAGGGCTGAGAGGGGTATGGGTATGGAGGGGAGGGTGATGAAGGTGATGAGGGGATTCTCGCATTCATCGCGTCGGCAAGAACAACGTAAAGATGGAAACGCAAATATCTTTAACGGTCACTTTAATTTGGGTGTGTTCGGTGGTGTGACAGGGTTCTTACTCTTCGGCGTTTGCCTCACGACCGTAATGGTGATATTTGACTATATCGCCATCGGTCTTTGGGAATATTTTAATGAACCCAATTACGTCTTCGATCCCCACCGTTTCACGCCCTTCCGACTTGTCAAACGCGAAGAGGTCTCGGAGACGGCTGTGGTCCTTACTCTACGTCCGGAAAAGTTACCGAACCCGGCGCATGATAATCGGGGGATTTATAGGAGGGCGTGGGCGAATGGGACGTGGAGCGTGGAGTTTAAACAGCCGCAGCTTATGATTGCCCGGGAGTATACACCTCTCCCCCCTCTACCTGACGTGAAGAAGGGGGAGGAAGCAGATTTGAGGTTCCTGATTAGGAAGGAGAAAGGCGGGGAGATGAGTGGGTATCTGTTCGGGTTGTCTCAGGGGGATGTTCTGGGGTTGAGGGGCCCGAACGTAGAGTACGGGTTTGAGGGCATGGAACATGTGAGCGAGGTGGTGTTTGTAGCCGGGGGGACGGGGATTGCATCGGCGTTGCAGGCTGCGCATGTTCTTCTTGAGGGGACTTTGGACGCTGATTTTAAAGTCAAACCTGGTGAAGTAGTCGGGGCGGTAAAGTCGCATATGAAGTTAAGAGAAAAAGAGAAAGAGATGAAACAGAAAGAAGAAGAGAGAAAACAGGAAGGGGAAGAGAAATACACACCACACCCACACGTCAAAATCCTCTGGGCCAACCGAAGATCCGAAGACCGTCATCAATCTGGACCTGTATCGGATATCATCGCAAGTCTGAAAGCTAGACATGGGGAACACTTTTACATCGAGTATCTAGTGGATGAGGAGAAGACTTTTGTCAACGAGAGCGTGATTCAAAGAGCCCTTGGTTCCCCGCATGAGATAGTTCGTGTTATGAAGGACAGTAAGGGATGGGTTGGTATGAAAAGCCTCTTTGGGCACTCCAAGACCGTCCCCCTGGCTGTGGAGAAAGACTCTTTGCTTATGGTTTCCGGCCCAAAGGGGTTCGTGGAGTATGTGGCGGGTGCGAAGAAGTGGGAGAATGGGAAGGAGGGCCAGGGCGAGGTTGGGGGATTGCTTGCCAGGATGGGGGTTGCGAAGAGGGGATGGGCGGTTTGGAAACTTTAGGGTGTTTGGTTGAGGTGGGGAATGGTTTCTATGGTGTGAAATTTTTGGAGGCGTTTGTATGCGTATACTCTTTTGGAATGTTTTGGTGTGTTGAGAACCAGTGTGCGATTCTTACGACTAAGGAAAAAATGGCGTTAGAGATGGAAAACCATAGATTGGCCTGAGGTAATCTGAAAATCAGTTACATATCTTATAATATTAGAAATATGTAGCCTGATAAAACCAGTATTCTCACCTGGGGAGTAAGACTAGGAAGAAATACGGTAGTTGAGAAGATATGCCGAGTTATTTTGGGCGGCAAAAAGGTTCATAATACTGTACCATGTAGATATTTGAAAAAATACTGTTCCCAAGAAATAGAATAGATACTCGAGATAAAACAAGCTCTACACTATATCTCAATAATAGCCTTAACATCTCTAGCACTCTCCTCCAAAATCTCCCTAAATCCATCAACCTTCCCAGCATTCCCCCACACCGAGATCTTAGTACTATTTAACCAAAATCAGTAAGAGTCCCAAAAGCAAAGGGCGAATCAATATCAAGAAATAAACATACCAATCATCAGTCACTTCGAAATTAATAGACAACATATCATCATCATCAAACACATCACCACCCTCCGCACCCCCACTCGCCATACAATTCGTCATAAGCTTCGGCGGACTCCGCTTCCCCCTATAAATCGGATCGGTAAGTAACTCCGGGACCTTCTCGTCGTCTTTAACCGCCCATTTCAGAGCAAGGAAATGTCTATCAAAGCCGTGACCCCGTGCTACGGCCATGACACTACCCGCATGTGCGCGTGCAGCGTCAAAGAATAGTTTCCGTAGTTCTTTGCTGGGCGTCTTTGTTTGGGCAGCTGCGGTACAGAAATCCGCGAGAGGTGGGAGGAGAGTGATGTTTACGTCTATTCTGCCTTGGTGGAAATGGCTGTGTGAGATGGGTTCTAGAGCGAGGGGATTATAGCCCCAGTACCGACGGGCGGCGAGTTGGAGGGCAAGTTGGGCGCCGGAGTTGGGGGGGCATTTGTGGTGGCGGAATAGCGAGCGGTTGATAGTTGGGAGTTTGAAGATTTGGTATTCGAAGCGGGAGGTGTCTTTGTGGATTTGGGTGAGGATTCTTGTGATGTGCGCTTTGAGTGGGGGAGTGGTCTCAAATGTGTACTCGTTTACGTCGATTGCTGACGAGGATGGTCCAGGGGTGGCGGGTAGATCTTTTGGATTGAAATCCACGATGGCCTTGGAGATCCAAGTGTTTAGTCGCATGAAGGGGACGCCATCTAGTGTCGTATGGTCTCCAATACTAGCCGAGATGCCGTTATCGCAGACGGAGAATTGAATCGTTTTATCGCTCCATCTGTTACGGCCATTTGCGTGGAGAAAGTGCGGACCACGCTCAGAGGCATTTTGAGGCTTGGCTTCATCCAAGTACAGTACGAAAGCAGAAGCTTCGATGTCGTGTATCCAGGTTCTGTTCGATTCGCTTATGTTTTGAAGCTCGGCTCGGTTCTGTAACTGGTTAGCCACAGTTGAGTAGATACATTGGGAGGACGAAACACTTACAACGGCCCAGTCATCTCGCGAGTCCTGCGTTAGAGCTCCAACCCACGATTCGGATTTCTGATCAGCATCTAAAATACGTTGAAAAGTATCCCGAAGAATGGCATAGGAGGTGGCTCCACTCGCATATTTGAGTGGAATTTTGTATGCATGACCCCGACGGAATGCAACCAAATAGTCATTTCCTGGATACTTCCTCATCGCGTCAATATCTCTCCCCGGCTCCCGCGTAGCATTAAAGAACCACTTATACGCCTCGGAGCTAGTTGCTTGATCGTTGAAAAATTCCTGAGCTAATCCTCCCTCCTCTAGATCTTGCTTAAACCGAAACGCAGACGTAGAAATGATAGCTGCTCTTTCTGCGGGAGTATGTTGATACGGACTTACAAAGTGCGTTGCAAAGAAGTTCGACCAGGGAACCAATGTGCGGCGACTCTTTAGAAACATGTTGGTTGTGTAGAACTCGCCTAACCAGTTTTCTACCAGGGGGTCGTGATATAATTGCGCGAGCCGGGCTTGGAGTTTTCGACCGAATCCTGCGGGTTTCTGGAATTCACGCACGCAGGATTCGTACTTGGCGTATTCCTTTGGTGTTAGTACGGGGAGGAGACAGTTCAGGAATTGAGTGAGGGAACTGTCTAGATCTGGTAATGGTTGCTTTGGCAAAACGACAATATCTTTCGTGGGCTCAATTTGGTTCCCGTTCTGCTTCTCGGGTTCGGTTTCGGTGATGGTTTCGCCTTTTTGGGAGATGATTGCTGATCTTGAAGCAACCAGATCAGCCAATGCCACAATGTGCGCGGCATCCGATATCTCGGAAGCTTGAAGCTTGGCTTTGAAGGTTTGTGTGATCCAATTTTTTAATTCGATACTGACCAATGAGTCTAGGCCGAAATCAGCCATGCTATGTTCGACGTCGATTTCCTCTGAATCTATTCCTACAAGCTTTGATATCTTTTTGGTAATTTCTTCTGAGATCAGGAGTCGAATTTTGGAAAGGTCATTTGTGGAAGAAATGAGACTTCCTATGCTTTGGACCTTGACCCCGTTTTCCTCGATACTCTGTCCCGCTTTGTGCTGACGGGATAGATGTGCGAACATTGGGTTCTTGAGAGTGTATTTGTTATCCGAGTCGAGGATGGACTTATAGTCCACCCCAAGAACGAACTGATTGCTTTTCTCCTCTCTTGCTGCATGGCTGATAGCATAGCTGATCAAAGCCAGTAACTCCTTGAGTTTGAGTAACATGTATCCCTGTCGAACGAGTCCATCTTTTGTTCTTTGCGAGTTTGCAATGACACCAGCATCATCGAGGGGGCCAAAGTCGACTGCAACGAAACGAGTAGATGACAATCCGATGACTTTGTTGTTATATGCGAGTGTATCCATGTAGTTGTTTCCGGCAGCATAATTCCCCTGAGCTATAGTTCCTACCACGCTGGAGATAGATGCCAGCATGAGAAAGAACTCCAGTGGTTGCTCCTCGAGTGCTATAACTAGGTTGGCAGTACCAGTACATTTGGGGCCTGTAGATAACTTGAAATCTTGGAGCTCCATTTTCGTCAACACCCGGTCCTGGCAGTTTTTAGTGGTCTTCGGTTAATAGCTTGGGGTTTGTTTACCTGAAGAACGTTTGATGCTTGAACTACGCCCTTCACTGGAGGCATTCCACAGCCCTCCAACGAAAAGATTGTCTTTTTCAAACTCGATAGATCAGTAACGTCACAATTTAAGACGAAAACTTTTGCACCCAGACATTCGAAACGTTTCTCAAGCGCCGTTAATTCTGGGAGTGGCAGGATTCTCCGAGACAATATCGCGATATGCTTTGCTCCGTGACTGGAAACCATAAGAGCGATTTCCAGACCGAGATCACCAAGTCCACCAGCTATTAAATAGGTTCCTTCGTTTGAAACAATCATATTGTCGCTTGTTACCGCTGGTGCCATAACCATGGTCTCCGCGTCGGTTTTCAAGACGATCTTTCCTGTGTGCTCCCTTGCTTGCACGAGTCTGAAAGCTTCTCCGATATTTGTGATAGGAATCGTTGTGATGGGTTCGATGGGAATAAAAAAGCCCGTGCTAAACAGACTCACAGCCATCTTGAGGAGATTTGCAGCCTTTTCGGGTTTGTAATCACAAATCAACTGCAAATTTAGCGAGGAGAATGTGACATTCCTTTCGAAGGGTTTCGTGTTCAAGCCCAATTTGGACAGAGAATCGGCTTTCCCAAGTTCGATGAAGAAACCAAAGCGCGCGATGCAATCCCATGAATCACGGAGAGCTTCACCTGAGAGGGAATTTAGAACCACATCGACACCTTTGCCGTTGGTCATACGGTAAATTCCCTCTTTGAAAGTGAGTAATTTGCTAGAGAAGATATGATCTTCTGGTATCCCAAATTTCTCAATAAGCAATTGACGTTTCGCTGCACTGCCAACTGTAGCAAACACTTCAGCACCGATGTTCTGTGCTATGCGTAAAGCGGCTTGACCAACTCCACCAGTGGCAGATTGAATCAGCAAAGTTTGTCCACGCTGAAGGTTGGCAATCTCAACAAGCGAATGGTAAGCGGTGGTGAATACAACAGGTATCGATGCAGCTACTTCAAATGACATTGAGTTGGGAATACGTGTTGCTCTGCGTCCGTCGAGTCTTATAATACTGGTGTATGATGAACCACCGAACCCACACACGCGGTCGCCGACTTGAAACGAATCTCGATGTTCTGAGCCAACGTCTGTGATGATTCCCGAGAACTCTCCAGCCATTGGTATATCCTCGTTGATTTGGCCGAGTGCTATCAGAACGTCTTTGAAATTGATTCCGCATGCTTCTACGCGTGCTTCTATCTGCGATGCAGGCAATACACTTGTGAATGACTTATCATAGACAAAGGACAGGCTATCCAGAAACCCAGGTTTGTTCACTTGAAGCTTGAGTGGTCGATTTGGCTGATAAAATGGCTGTGACTGCAATTTATGTTTTCCATCCGCTTGCTGTACACGATCATTGAGCTTGGTGTTTGGTATGAGCCGTGGGATCGAGATCTCCTTGTTCATGTATATATACTCCAGCTCTTTCATTGATGAACTAGAAGTGTTGATCAATCCATCCTCAACGACCCGGCTAAAGGTTTGAAGAAGATGATCCAGATCTTCGATTTCACTATCCTGGACGTTGATGGTAATAATATGGAGACATGGGTTCTCAGCTCGACAAACGCGAGCAAGACCAGCAATCATTCCTTTCTCGGGGTTCATGTCCGCTGAACTGTTATCCTGACAACTGACCCAAAGTACACGAACTGCATTTGATAGAAGACTCTTGATGCTGTCGAATACCGATGGGTCATCTGTTTTCAGAACTGGACAAGATCCGTTGTCGAATATGATATATGTCGTATCCCCCTGGAAAGTGGTATCCGAAAGTCTTTCAATGGTTACATCAAATCCTTGATGACGAAGTTTTGAGCTTAGGCGAATTGCAATTTCTGGTGGGTTGGTTGTCCAACTGGGGCAGATGATCAATTCGATTCGACCTTTTGGCTCTTTCAGGGTCTCGCTCTTCGAATCCTTTGCCGTAGAAACAATCATTGCCGATCGTTGAGCTGATCCTCCAAAATCAGTGGCAACTATTTCGGCACCATTAAAGTTGTTTCGTAGAAGTGTAGCGTGCCACTCCTCAACTGTCAAAGTTGGGCCATCAGTACGACCATCATCGACCCCTGTGAGGAGCAAATTAGTATACAATTTGACCATTTGACGAATGAATCACTTACCTGACCACCATCCATCAAATACACCCATGAATGTAGTGTAGAACGGGACAACTCGAGTTGTTTCAATCATAACAAGTTTTCCACCAGGCTTCAAAAGGTGCCGAATGTTAGACATCACGTCATTCATGGAAGATGCAATGTGAATACAATTTGCCCCTATGATCAGATCGTATGTTTCATTCTCAAAGCCCTGTTGCAAGAAGCCACTGTTCATATCCAGCTTCTTGTATTCCATATAGTTGTCCCACTTCTTGAGACGCTCTCTCGTACGCTCAAAAAATCCGGATGAAACGTCGGTGAACACATATTTCTCAAAAGGCAAAATACCGTCCGGACCGAGGGCTTCTAAGAGAGGAGCAGTTGTCGCGCCGGTACCGCCACCTAGCTCAAGTACCCGGACGTTTGGGTTTTTGAAAGCGAGTTTTTTCATATATTTGATGACATGGGCATAGATACGAGCGCTAGAATCATCCGAATAAACCCGGTAGAGTAAATTATCCTCGATCATGAGGGAAAGTGGGTCCACCTTTCCTGTCAGTATATCTTCCATTTTGGGACCCAGGCGTTGAGATAGCTCTCCTTCTACCCCCTGCTTTTCAGCACTTTCGACAATAGATCTCTCATTGCCCTCCGGTACGCACTCGAGTAAAGATCTTGACTCATCTGATTGATTGAATCGTTTCATCCAGTCAAAAAGATGCGAAAAATGGCCTGGGAGTTTTGGCGGCCCATCAACTGTAAGTTTACCAACGCAAGATCGAACATAAATGGCCGCTGCTTGGTTCAAAAGCTTTAGTTTGGCTTCCTGTGCTCGTTCGGCTGCCACAGAATTCGGGCCTGGAGAAAACATTGACGAAGTCATATGGTCGGCATCTAGATCCCACTCCATATTGTAGCTAATATTTCGATCCTCATTTTCGAAAGTATTCATTCCAGCATCTCCAGTTGCTCGGAATTTCAAGGCTTTCATTTGTATAACAGAAAGGTCCAGACCCGGTTGGAATACCGAAATGTCTGCGGAAGGAAATCTCGAAGTGCACCCTTCTGTTGTGGTACCAAGCGTCAACGAAGTTTTGGGTTTGTTGGCTAAACGAGAAGATACTTTAAGATCGTCGATACCTACAACCATCAAGGAGTTTGCTTGCGTACAACGATTGATGATTGCCACTGGATGATGCATTATGGCGTCGAGGGTTGCAGGATGTACGACATGAGGTTGCTGGAATTGGGCAGGCATACATTGCGATGTATCTGGAATGCTCAAGACACTTAGGGCTTGTGTGCCACCCAAACTGATCTTTTCTATACAAGCAAAGTTTCCGCTGTATTGATTCCCCGTTTTTTCCATGTCATGGTAGAACTTTTCTTGGTTCAACTCCTCTTTGCAGGCTGATTCAATCTTACGCAATCGCGCCACCTGAGCAGATGAATTCAGCTTCTGTTCTCTCGCTGCTTCCACTTCATCCGACTCGGATGAAAATTGCGCCATGATATACCCATGGCAATGCTCTGTACTCGTTCCCTGATCCGAGACCGAGAAGACTCTAAATTCTTCCCACCTCGACTTGGAGTTATCTTGAAGGTTCTCTGTGGCCGTAAGACTGAGTTGAATCTCCACAGACTTCGATGATTCAGGAATCAGGAGAGCCGCTGCAAATTTGACGTTCTTGAAGTTATAGCTTGAGATATCCGTAAACCCAGGCCTCTCAAGACTCGACTCCAACAGTGCTTGGATAGCCATAGATATGTATCCCGATGCGGGAAAGATCATGAAACCATCAATTACGTGCTCTCGTAGCCAGGGGATTCGATCAATTCCTAGCATGTGTCTCCATATTGGATTTTGAACCGTACTGCTTGCAATCCGTGAACCGAGAAGATCATGGTGGGGATTCTTGCGAAACCGGTGGGCTTTACTTAATCGTGATTCATGCCAATGAGTATCTGAATGATCCCATGAATAAGTAGGCAAGTCGATTAATAACTTTTGTGGCTTGTTTGGGGCCAAAAACAAGTTTGCTTTTCCAATATCGACAGAACAGCCCTGCTCGAATGATTTGCCTACTGCTTCTAGAAGGGTATAACGTGCGTCTTGGTTTCTTATCAGAATAGAAGCACAAGAGAATCCTGCTGAGAATGTTAAAGATGACATCGTCTGCCTCAAAGGCCCAGACAAAGCGCTGTGAGGTCCTACTTCAATAAATGAAAGCCTCGCTTGCGGAGAATAAGTTGATGCTACTCGACAGACCTCCTCAATACCACGTTGAAATTGAACCTTGGACACGAGATTGTCGACCCAGTATTGGGCCCCAAATCCAGTGGTCATTTCTTTTCCAGTAACAGAGGAAATGAAACGAATGTGCGGTAACGTATTCTTGTGTTCTAGTCCATTCAGACTATGTAGATATGTGTCCGAGACTGACATAACGTGGTGTGAATGGTAAGCTGTGTCCACAGCCAGTCGTCTAGCAAACACTGTTTCTGTATCTAATATCTCTTTCAACTCAAGTATTGCAGCTTCGTCTCCCGACACGGTGGAGCTGTCGGGGCTGTTTGAACATGCAATGACCAGTTTCCCAGATTTAATCCGTGAAAGGTACTGGGACAATTGTACCTCGCCTAATCCAACAGCCATCATTGCTCCCTTGAGGGCCGCGCTGACCTGGAGCCGTCCACGAAAGTATGCTGCTTTCAATGCGGAGATTTGGGAAAGTGACCCTGTCGCGTAAGCCGCAGCAATCTCGCCGCTTGAATGGCCCAGCACAATGTCAGGCTTGATATCCAACGAAGATAGTAGATCAATCAGTGCAATTTGAATTGCAGTTGTAGCTGGCTGAGCAATTTGACTTTCGTTGATCCTGGAGTCTGAAGATTTGTTGCATGAAAGTTCTTCAAGCAGACTCCAGGGGGCACCAAAGCCGCTGAGAATCTTGTCGGAAGCTTCAAGCGACTTTGAATAGGGTGATTTGAGGCTCATAAGTTCACGACCCATCGCGAACCATTGTGCACCTTGACCCGTGAAAACAAAAACATTCTGACTCTTTTCCATGGATTTCACAGAAGGAGGGCGGTTTGAACTCAATCGAGAGAGAAGATCTGGAAGCGATGTTCCCATGAAACTACATCTCCACCGCAACAGCGAACGACGATTGGATAACGTGTATGCCAGGTTCCGGAGAGCATCGTTGCTGGGATCCGGATTTTGAGATATCCACTGTTCTAGATTTTCCAATGTTCTGGCCAAAGATTCTTTAGATTTGGCTGAAAGTGCAAGGAGTTGAGGTTCAGGTTTGACCTCTTCAGGTGAATGGCTACCATTTATGCCGTTTGAGGATTTAGTACCATTGGTGATTTGGTGATTCTCGTGTCCTTTTGTTTCTCCGTTAGGACTATCGTGACCATTTTCTTGTTGGTAGGTCGATAATGAGTCCAGAATTAAGTGCCCGTTGGCACCTCCGTATCCAAAATTGTTAACAGAGATTCGACGCAGAGTTTTGTTATCCCATGGTTCAAGATTAGTGGGTATCTGTTGAGATTTAGCTATCGCTTTTTCAAAATTATTGATATGCGAGCTGTAAACTAACCATGATATCAGCTCCTCTGCAGCTGTCTTTTAGAACCTCCAAGTTGATAACCGGGGGCATCGCATCATTTTCCAACATTAGAATAGCTTTGATCAAACTGGCAGCACCACTTGCAGATTCCAAATGACCAATATTTGGCTTGACCGAGCCAACACGGAGTGGAATCGGTTTGTTCGAGCCATGATCGTCATAAGAAGTGAAGGCTTGGCGTAGTGCCCAGATTTCTGCATCTAGAGAATTGTTAGCATGAATCTGTTCGAAATATAATCAGGGTTATTGCTACTTACCATCCCCGGCAATTGTACCAGTACCGTGGGCCTCTGCGTACTTGGTGTGAAGGGGATTGAGATTCGCTTGTTTGTAAACCCGACGAATGAGTTGTAGTTGTGCATCTCCGCTAGGTACCGTGATGCCAGGTGTCTTGCCGTCTTGATTGACTCCCGAGTTCCGGATAATTCCCCGAATGGAGTCACCATCTCGGATGGCGTCGCTTAAATTTTTGAGAACAACCATAGCTGCGCCTTCTCCACGACCGTAGCCTGCCCCACGGCTATCAAAGGAATAACTCTTTCCATTTTTATTCAGTACGCTGTGGTGTTATCAGCAACTGTTCTACTTTATAAACACACGTGGAAAAAATCACATACCCGATCATACTCATTGGGACCATCATATCCGGGGTTATAATAAGACTCACTCCACCAGCAACAGCTATCTTGGCTTCTCCAGTTCGCAAACTCTGGCAAGCCTGATGAATTGCCACCATGCTTCCACTACATCCAGTATCCAGGGTCATCGACGGCCCCCGAAGATCAAGTAGATACGAGATTCGATTAGAGGCCATTGCTAGACCCGTTCCAGTCATGTAATATTTGGAAATGGTTTCAAGATCCCGATCTTGCATGTGGGCATAGTCCTGCCCAAAAGTCGCGACATATACAGCGGTATCAGAACCACGAAGATCTTCAAGCCGAAGACCAGCATTTTCCAAAGCCTCGCATGTGACTTCTAATTGAAAACGGAATTGGGGATCTATTGCTTCACATTCTTGAGGCGGAAGTCCGAAAAACTTGCCGTCAAAATGTGCAATTTCGCCATCAATAAAATGGCCGCCGAGATGATTGAGAGCCTCTGGTGCCTCACCATCGGGGTGATGAAACGATTTCCAGCTGAATCTTTCCTCTGGAACGTTTGACCAGGTGTCACGTCCTTTGGAAAGTATTTCCCAGAACTTTTCGGGACTATTGGCGCCACCTGGGAAACGGCATCCAATTCCTATAACAGCTATCGGCTCCGGTGTGCTCATCTTCGATTTAGAAAGGGGTATCAATTGCCAAAGGAAAGCGGTTTTAGAAAACGTGAATAAGATGAAGTTGAAAGCTGTGTGAACTGAAAGTTATACCTTCAACCGCGATCTTTCACTCATTGTGGTTTATAATATCAATCCCCCATGTAACCTTGCCATGGCATGGCGCCCGGAGATCTAGACTTCAAGGTAACCAGTCTTGGATGTATTCGGTGCTCCGGAAGCGGGCACTGTAACTGGCAGTGTTTACGATGTGTTCAATTTCACTCGTCCGATTTAAAACCGCCGACGAACGTTCTAAGGCAATTGGGGGGCAGGCTCAAAACACATGGAGTGAATGATACTTATCAAGTGGTATTGGAGCGGGTTCCTTTCCTTTCCTGGCTGGACTTCGAGGTTACCTTCTGGGCTTGAAGTTAGATGCCAAGGTACACAAGAGACAACTACGCAAAGTATTCCCTTTCTCTTCACAAGTCCAATCAAAGATAGAAAACGTCCGTGCCTGTGCCTCTCATGCACGTAAGGAAAATATGTGCAAGTGAGATTTCGTATTCTCATCAAGGCATTTTCCCATTGGTGCAAAATCTTTATTCATTGGGCTAATTTCTCAATCCCAAAGAAGCTCAGTGATGTGCCGCTTTTGATTCCCAGAATCCTTCTTTGCAACTAGTTCGTGTCAGATGGGATCTGGCAGGTACGCTCGTGGTGGGTGGCGTCGTAAATCAAGCTTAACCCAAAACCATAAACCATGTACAGTACTCGAGTGGCTGGGATGTTGTTCCTAGGAGGCTCCAGAAGGCTTCTCTCTCAATAGTGGGAGCCTAGTGTCATATTTCAAAGTATAGACATCACCGTAAGCTCTGTGGTGGAGAAGTGTCAATACCGGAGTATGTCGACTTCTATGAAGTACGAGGTTGCAAGGATTTTTGAGTGGGTAACGCGAAGGGTGGCAGAAGTCTTTTTGAGCCACTTAGAAAACAGCTTTTTACAGATGTCTATGGAGAAAAGTCTGAGCACCAGAAGCTACCGCTATTCGCAATCTTCTGTGCATAAGAAGGGGGGCATCTAGCGAGTACTGTGGTAAATCGTCCTTAGGAAAATGAGTGGATCGGGTAGTGGATATGTCTCGTATGCTTACTAAAGAATAGCAGAAGTTGCAAGATCACTTTTCAAGCCACTCAGAGATCAGGTTTCTATGGGTCCCTAGGTAGAACAAGCTGGTCGCGATCTTTCACGCATAAGAAGGCCTTCGCCGCAGAATACTAGCTACTATAAGTGGCTCGGAGCGTACAAAACATATCCACAACCCCCCCCTATCACATCCATCCATTTTCCTAAAGGACGATTTACCACGGTAGGACTTTCTAGTTCACACTACGAGACACTGCCCCGTGCTCCACTCAAAGGCTCTCGCCTCCTCCTAAGAGACGATTTACCACGGTACCTCTTGGCAAAGGGTAAGGGGGAAACAGTACCATGTAGGATTCAAGATTGTCACTAGAGACGTGAATTCCTCCGAAAGGTGATTGAGCGGAGTATCAGGAATATCCGGTGGCAGAACATTTCAACCTTGCTTTGTGGCTTCAAATTGAAATGGACAGCACGATGGATACAGCCTGCGGGCCGTTCTTAATAGAAGGTAAAGCACCATATATTAAGTAATTGGTTTTATGGCAAATCAACCCCAGTCATTAACGTGGCAGTGTACTATGATCATTATGACCCTCATCTAACCTCATCTAATCTCCACCACTCCATCTAAGCATTCACAGGTACACCAATATCCCCAACATTCAGCATAATAACAGCAAGCAAAGATGTTGCAGTTTGCTGAGTGATTCCTTCGACACCAACGCGACCAAGCACAGAAACGGCTTCATCGAAGCTTGCAGAGTCCAATGGACCCCTCAAATTGGTGATCTTGACGGCCAGTTTATAGGCTGCTGCTTGACGAGGTGTGACATCGTATGGGCATTTCCCAGCCAGCATAGACTTGACTTGCTTCAATGTGAAGCCAGCCTTCTGGCCTAAGATGGTGTGTGCATAAATGGCAAAAGGAGCTTTGATGACTGATAGAATTGCCAGAACACATGCTTCATTTTCGCTGGCGGGCAGATTTTGTGCTACGCCAACATTCAAGTTGATGAAATTCTGAACGACAGTCGGTGTGGTATACCTATAAATTATCGTTAGAATGTTTCTAGAACGAGAATAGAAAGTATCATTAAGAATGGGGAGATAACACATACATGAGTTGACCAAAGGGACCCGTGAACGAGCCGTCAGGATTCTTGGTAACGATAGTATTGCCATAAAATCTTGTCAAAGCATTGTCGATAACTGTATATTGCTCTGCTTGCGATGCGCTCAGGTTACCGATAGTAGGCGAGAGGGGAGGAAACCTGGAGACACTTGCGCAATCCTTTGGGAGAACAGCATTGGCGGCTTCTCGAGGTAACTCCATGGCTAAGCTGTTGACTGAATTTGCGAAGATGGCTACGGTGAGAGGAACACTCCAAAATTTCAAGGGGAAGAACATGATGCAGGAGGTAGCTTAGTGCGGTATGTCACAAGACGAGGGTACCGATATGAAGAAAGGTGAGGCAGGTGTGGGTGAACAAGAAGAAAAAACGTGGCAAAGGGGCGGAGACCATGTAATGTATTCACAAATATGCGGTGCAATCACACTCACTCCATTGGTGGCGTCTATAGAAGCTAATAATAAGCGGGCTCGGTACTCGCGAGTCTGATACTATATTCTCAAAGCGGCTAACAATGTGTGTCAATTTAATACCAACCGATAAACATACTGTACTCGGTTACTCCTCCGCGCTGTGCCGTAGGAACTGTGACGGACGGGCCGCGTACGAGGGGAGGGGCTTATCAGGATGCTCCATAATTCAATCCCTGAAGAAACGAGGTGTAAGGTGTTTGGCTGGCAAATACCGGTAATCCTCTGGACCCGTAGAAATACACAGCTCCAGGTCCTACTTTCAGAAAGAAGGCCGGTCACAATTGTAGTTTATGCACTCAGAGTAGTATCAAATGAATCCTTCTTTAAAGTGGGGTTAAGATAGAGCCAGACGGCAGAGAATTGATCGTTTGAACTCTAGACCATTCAAACTGCGCCGCTTTTCAAATACTTGTCGAAATTTCCATGATGATTAAAAGATGTCGGGAACTCCAACTCCGATTCATTACTCTACTCGAATGCTATGCAAAGTTCGTTAAGACCTCCTCCAACCAACAACCACCAACCCACCAATGTCGAACAATCCAATACCATTGGCCGATGACCCCACTACTCAGGGCTACATTCTTCAAAATGTAGCCATAGCTTTGATTGTACTTGATATTTCTTTTGTTGCGTTGCGTATCTACGCGAGAGCGATAAAAGGTCGGGGAGGCTGGGTTGACGAATGGATGGTCATTTGTGCTTTGATCAGCAATATTGGGCTATGTGTAGTAGCTATTTGTAAGTATATTCACAGTCGAGATGTATCTTTCTAAGCTGAGTCTAACTTAAATACCAGTAATGTATCAAATTACCCATATTGGACACCATCTTCCATGGGTAAAGAAGCATGAGCCACTCACGCTGATAACCTTTGCAAAACTCGACGTTGCACTCGAAATGTTATTTACGGTTTCGTTCACTTTCCCAAAACTAGCAATCCTCTGTATGTATCTCAACGTCTTTGTTGAGCGTTGGCAAAGAAGAGCAGTTTTCGTACTTATTGGTCTGGTGGTTGGAAGTGGATTAGGAACTGGCATTACCACCATGGTACAATGCGTTCCTCTGCAATATCTGTGGGATAAAAAGGGCCATCCAGGTGGTTTCTGTGTCAATCCAAACACGTTCTGGCAGTACTCTACCCTGCCAAATGTCATTATCGATTTTGCAATGTTCTTCCTACCTATACCCTGCATACTGAAGCTCCAACTTTTGAAGAAAGAAAAGGCTGGTTTGGCTGTCACATTCATGACAGGTAGTATGTAAGTGGACGCTTCTTGAGGATGAAGAGAATGATAAGTGCAAGAACTAACTCATGAATACAGTGGTATTATTATTTGCATTATTCGTATGGTCATTTTATTCCAAACATCGGCAACTGATTCAACCTGGAATGCCATCAAGTTTGGTTCCCTCACTATGTTAGAGGGAAGCACATACCTCATAGCCGCATGCCTTCCACTCTATCGACCATTCATTCAGGCTGCTGGCAAACGAATCGGAGGAACCCTGGGTAGTAAGATCACACGCACTGGCATGTCCCGTGGGACCAATAAAGGAGATGACTTGGAGTTGGCATCATCATTGAAACGACAGCCAGCTTTCAACGAAAGCGGATTTGAACGTCTTCATGACGACAAAGCAAAGGCCCAAGTTACGACAGAACTTCGAAGTTTTGATTCCATGTCAAGTCAATCTGGTCCGCGAAGCAAACGAATTGAATCTGGTATTCAAGTCAAAAGAGAGTACATAGTTGAAAATATTCAGAAATAGGGGTTCTCGAGGATTGGATGTCTATCCAATCATTCATTTTTAGGTGGCTTATGTGTACTCAAGTTTTTGGTGTTGGGAATTTGTATGAGATAATGATTTTGGTTGTAAGATGACCTTACCGTATTGATAAAAGGAATCCATGAACTTTTCTTTTTGCAGTGCATATACACATGAGAATTTCCACTATTCCTTATTGGATGTCACTGATGGTGCTGCTTTTTCCTACAGTAAAGTGACTTGTTGGCGATTACAGTAGTGGGGGTTTGCCACTTCAACCTCCTTGCCATCAATCGTGAATTCTTCTACTTAATTTTGTTGCTACTTTAATCAGAAAGATATGTATGTTTGAATTGAGAACTAGCCGATGAAAGGTATCTATTTGATACACTACCACTGGTTCAAACGTTATGAAAGATATTGATTGTGCTCGTGTAACGAGGACCTACCATAGCTTTACCTGTGGGGTCGTGCCTTGTACTGTAGCAACCCTTCAGTAAGATTATTATAAGTAATATACTGTACTCAGCTCGATTTGTTCACACTCGTAATCGAACTGCTTTGAATCCTTCTACGCTACTGTAACAATGTAACTTAACGTACGTCGTACGAGCAAGAACGCAATCTCTCTCGCTGGGAACATGTTTAGTGCAGGATGTTGCAGAAGTGGAGGCAGATTAAGACCTTCCTGATGTTACAGTAACTACGGATCCGCGTCTTTTATCAGTAAGCACATCCTGTAGGATATAGGTACGGTGCTGTAATACCTCTAAAACTTCGTGCACGTCCATGACCCACCCCGAAGTCTCCAAGCGGTGCAGGAGATACTTTGTTGTTACATCAGCGAATGGAAAGGGCCAACTTAAGCTTAAAATATTTAAACTGTCGTGTGCGGTTCGACCAACTCCTAAAACTCCGGGAACTTCAAGCCGACCATGGTACGACATGTGCCCCTGTTGACGTTGTAGTACATACTGTACCGGTATTTGCCCCAGTCTTTTATACCCTGTCATATGTTACTGTAGGTACTTCTCAGGCACAGCAAAAAAAAAGGGAAGGGCCGAAACTCGGTCTAGGAGATAAGATGCACAGCGCGACAGACGAAGACAAGCTAGTGTAACTCACCTGCCTTTTTGAGGATATCAATAACTCTAGATGGTCGAAAGAGTTGAAAGCAAATGTTGGGACCGATTGGAGGGCAAAGGCTGACGAAGGTGAGTCAGATCCTGAGAATTTCTCAGTTGTATCAATATTGCCAACAGTGGATTATTTTTTATTGCATCCCATGAAGTAATTTCAATCCCATGAAGTAATTTCAATTGCTCTGTGTCTATCATCTGCCAAAAATTCAACTCGAAATGAGCAAAGACGCTGTTTCGGTGGTTTTGGTCGAACCGATCAATGATCATGAACTTTCCGAATCTTTGTCACTCAACGACAAGAAAATTTTCGGGGCTGTCGAGGAGAGAGCTATAGCTTCAGTTCCAGAAGAACTTCTGGAGAATGAATCCAAGACCGATCCAAAAGATCTCGCCAAGGTGGACGAGGGCACTACTCAAGCAAGCGAATTGAAGCGGCCTGAGGGCATGGGACTGTTTCTTCTGACAACCGGAATGATGATTTCTATGTTCATAATGTCTCTCGATAAAGCAATCATTGGTAGGTTCAAGTTTTGGTTGCCATGACATCTTTTAGAAATAAAACACTTGCTCACAATTTCCCTAGCAACTGCAATTCCAAAGATAAGTACTGAATTCCACAGTATCGACCAGATAGGATGGTACACCAGCGCATATTTACTCCCTGCCATGGCTCTTCAGCCGACTTTTGGTAAAATATATAAATATTTTGATGTCAAAACCTTCTTCCTCGCCTCTTTATTGTGCTTCGAGGTTGGTTCAATTATATGTGCTGTCGCTCACTCATCGCCGGTTTTCATCTTCGGTAGAGCAATTTCTGGTGCTGCCACTGGGGCTATTCAATCTGGTGGCATGGTCATTATCAGTCTGGCGATACCTTTGCCCAAGATATCGCTATTTCTAGGAACTTTGACTAGCATGACTGCAGTGGCGGGGTTAGCAGGACCACCAATTGGGGGCGTCTTCACCGATAGTGCACGTCTAACATGGAGATTTTGCTTCTGGATCAACTTGCGTGAGTCAAAAATTCCAAATCACAATGTATGTATAACCGTCTGTTCTAACAGAATCTGCAGCATTCGGTGCGATTGCAGCAATCATTTTCTTCTTGGGCTTCAAGTCCCCAGTAATGAAACCATCGACACTTACCTTTAAAGAAAAGCTCATGGAGATGGATGTCCCAGGGACTGTTCTATTTGTGACAAGCATGACGACTCTGTTTTTGGCCCTTCAATGGGGAGGCTCTGATTATCCATGGTCAAACTCCAAGGTTTGGGGTTTGCTTCTAGGTTCTGGGTTACTATTCTCAGCATTCCTTGCTCTTCAAACTTACCTCGGGGAGAAGTAAATATTTTCTTGTGACCATTTGACTTGAGCCTGGCTAATTTCTCTTCAGGGCCACCATACCTCTTCGGATATTCGACAATCGCAGCCTCTCGCTTAGTCTTTGCACCTCAGCTCTCCTATACTTGGCAACTACCGTTCACACTTTCTATCTCCCTTTCTACTTTCAATCCGCAAAAGGCACATCGGCTACCTCTTCAGGCCTTCGAATGCTGCCATACATAGTATCGCTCTCGGTGACTCAGCTGACAGTAGGAGCTGCTGTTACTGCAATTGGCATCTATTTGCCATTTATGTGGGCTGGCTCAGCCGTGTTTACAATTGCATCCGGTCTGCTCACCACCCTCAATTCCACTACAGGAATCGCCCCACCCATTGGCTACCAGATCTTGGCAGGCTGTGGTTTCGGTTCTAGCATGCAACTTTGTGCGACCGCCGTTCGAGTATCTATTCACGATAAGAAGGACGTGCCGGTTTCCAGTGCCTTGACAATTTTTGCCCCCTTTTTCGGTGGATCTTTAGCTGCAGCGATTGCTCAGAGTATATTTCGTCAGGAACTTTCACGCGTTCTGATGGGGTCGGTAGTCGCTAACGACACGGCTGCCATTATAGCTGCAGGAGGATCCGATGGCGACGATGTCGTACCTGAGGCTTTAAGGGGTGTCGTTCGTGAGGCGTACAGTGTTGCAGTTTCCAAAACATTTCTTTTAGCAGTCGTAACTGGCGGTCTGGCATTTCTGTGCACACTTGGAGTTCAGTGGAAGAATATCAAAAAGCCGAAAAAGGATGATGCGGAGAAAGTATTGGGTGAGAAAGGTGGTGGCGCCGGTAATGTGCAGGAAACGAGCAAATAATGTCAGAACCGGTTATCTAGATCTTTTACCCCTGAATGTGCAACGACCAGTGCTTATTATTAATTAAGGTGTTCCTGGTGGTGATCATATTGACAAGGTTTCAAAGTGGACACAATTGGCACTTGAATGCTAAAAAGCTTGAAAAGTGGATTTTCAAGAGGGGATCAACATCATGGCTAAGATCTTCTAAAATGTTTCTTCTGGCCAATTGGCGATATCTTTTGAACGTGCGTGCGTGAGTCCAAGGTATCATATGACCGTATGATGTGGTCTCTGAGATGAGAATTACCTCTCCCGCTGGCTTGCTTGCCTTCTCCACAGATGCCTTCGTTCATGGATGTGACTTTTGTATTTCTAATCGCTCTCTCTCTCCCCCTGCGTGGAGAAACGAAAACAAAAACAGAGATGAACTCTATGGTCTAGCATGACTTAGACTGGTAAGATTTTTTCCACAACGATTCGATTGATACTGTAATAAGTATTTTCAAGTGTCAAAGTGTCCAACTGACGGGTACCAGTTTGACGGGCAAGAGGGTCGTTATTGATGTTCTACTCGGTTTCGTTTTGGTAATATTCAAGTTGCACTTTCGAAGCTATAGGGGTGGGTGCGATCACAAGGGCGAAGAGCCAGTGGAATGCGGCTTTTCTAGGCCCTGTTCCATTATGTGAAATCTCATTGTCATCAAAAAATGCCAAATTCAGAGGCTCTTCCCCCTTCGACGATCTTCGTCTATCCAGTTAGGAAATTGGGTGCTTTTAAGACTTTGAGCTTGGCAAAAACAAGGGATAATTATTATGACTGCACCACAAACCATAACCAGTCTATTAAGAGACGGACGAAAGAAGTCAAAGAAAAGGTAGATAACATAATAAGTATATAACATAATTAATACGCAACTGACATAATTAATACGTAGATTACATAATAAGAAGAGGAAATTACAATTAAGTGGGAGAGCAAGTTCCCGTCATTAAACCGTGAATCTCAAGTCACCATCTCCAAACAAAACAAAACCCAAAAAGCCCACGCCATCTGATAAGGACGTAGCTGGGCTACAAAAGAAGAAGACCACAACTTTCAGAAACAAAGAGTTTCTGCCCCGTACCTTTGATGAACTGAGCTTCAATTCCATCATCTGAATAAAGGGAGTGGGTTACGGGGTCTGTTTAATTACCATACTTGCTAGATTTTTGGTATATCTGTCTATTATTTCCTCGTCAGAAAGCTATAGAAATAGTTCTGTAGAGTTAGGAGAGGCTTACAGGACGAATCTGTCTTTTGTCGATGGGTGAGGGGTTTGGTTGAGGTTGTGCAGACTGTTGAGGGGTTCAGGCTTGAGCCCTCTATGGAGCCTTTGTTAGTCTAGGATTTCAAACGCAGGCTGAAAGAGGAAGGAATATGAGAAAGGGCTTACAGGACTTGTATCCGCTCCGTTTCCATCATTTGCTTGTGGGTCTCGTCCCTCAATTACCTGTTAAAACTTGAGATTAGGCTAGCGTTCACCGCGTGCTAGGGGAAGGGCTTACAGTTACACCCGGTCCGCTTCCCTGATCTCTTGGTGGCTCTGGAAGCTCAATTGCCTGTTAAATCTTTAGGTTAGGGCAATATCTTAAACGCGTGCTAGGGCACTGAATATAAAAAAGGGCTTACAGGAAGTGAATCCTCAGCTGGTCCAGTGGTTACCCATTGTGGGTCTCGTTCTTCGATTACAGTTGCGCCCCATCCGCTTCCCTCCTTTGTGGGTGCCTCTGGGAGATCAAAGGAAATCTATTGAAATTTTAGGTGAGTCCAGAATCTTAAACGTATGCTAGGGCACTGAATATTAGACAGAGCTTACAGGATTTGGATCCACTGGTCTAGCAAATGTGCCTTGTGGGTCTCTCCGCCCAAATCCCTGTTAAAACATTAGGTTAGGCCAGCATCTTAATTGCGTGCTAGGAGAAGGACCCACAGCAGAGACCTCATCCCCTCGTTCCTTTCCCCCACTTACTGGTGGTGGCCGTGGAGCACCAAGAGAAACCTGTTGAAATGTTAGGTGAGACCAGATTCTTAAGCGAGTGCTAGGGTAATGAATATAAGAAGGAGCTTACAGGAGGGCCCGGTCTATTACCACCACCTGATGAAAATCCGCTTCCCGCTTGTTGTGGCTCTCGGGCCTTGACTCTCTGCAAAATCATGAGGTTAGTCCAGCGTTATAATTACTGCTAGGGGAAGGGCTTACAGAATTTGCACCCCTTGCGTTTCCCGGCCTGATTTCTGGCTGTGGGTGACCGTCCCAATTAATCTATTAAAATTTGAGGTTAGACCAGGATCTTGAACGATTCCTAGGTTACTGAATATAAGAAAGTGCTTACAGGAGGACCTGGTCTACTAGCTGGTTCACGGGATCCCTCTTGTGGTTCTCGAGCTTCGACCCCTTTCTAATACTTGAGGTTAGGCCAGTATTATAGTTGCGTGCTAGGGAAAAGGCTTACGGCAAATCCACCCCTTCCGTTTCCCTCCATTACTGGTGACCGTGGGACGGCAAAAGCAACCTATAAAAACGCGAGACCAGGATTTTGAACGAGTGCTACAGTACTAAATATAAGAAAAGTCTTACGGCATTTGGATCTGGTCCACTACCTTGCGAAAATGCTCCGTTTTCCGCCGTTTGTGGCTCTCGGCCCTCGACTATCTGTTGAAGATTTGTAAGAGTTGCGTCCAAAAGGCAGGCTAGAAGCAGAGCGGAAATCACAGAAGGCTTACAGAACTTGGATCTGATGCGCGGGCTTTGAAAATCTGGTGGTTGTTTAGGTTAGAATAGATCACAAAAAACGCTGTTGGGGCTAAAGAGAAATGAAGAACCAAAAAGCAGTTTGCAGCTTACAGGAGTGGGAGTTGTAGCATCTTGAGAAATGGGAGAAGCGGTCAAGAACGGAAGGATGGCAAGCACGACGGCGGTTGAGTAACGCATTTTGAGTAACTTGTTGGGCTCGGTTAAAGGAGTGCGTTCAAGGGAATTGTAAGAGAGAGCTGAGTAGTGAGTGAAGAGGATGGTATTAGGAATGGGTGTTCGGTTTGGACACTTATATATCTTTTCAAATGCACACACTTATGGAACTGATTACATATTGCAAGTTAGCCAAGTTTTTGTTTCTCACTAACGATTATACGACTTTGATGGCCTCCGGTCGATCTCGTCACAACTTCAATGGCCTTTAGCCCTGTAAGCTCACTTCTACCCCATGTTTTGTCCCTGGCCATGGGCGAGGTCCCGAAAAGGTACGAAGTATGTCTCGGAAGCCTCTGGTTCAAGGCTTCCTTTTCTGAGGAACTACTCGTACTCGGTTTCGTTTTTGTACTTACATAATTACACTTTCAGACCTCTAGAAGTGGATGTAAGCTTACGGGTACTACTGGGGTATAGAGCTATTAGGAGTATAATATCTAAGACCCTAGTCTTTTGAATCAAGAGGTTCCGAAGCTCGAGGCTATCAAAAAAGTCTAGTTTTAGCCCTGTAGTAAGACACCCTCGATGATCTACCTCCATTCTGTTGCTGGGAGTGGAGATCTTTTAAGTGCTTTTAGGATTTTAGCTTGGCGAGCTTGTTCGCAATCCACTCAGAAAGCGTAGAATGAGTAAAAGTGGAAGCAAGCGAGAAAACAATTAGGTGGGAGTCCAGATTCACCACGAATAAAGCACGTACCTTAGAACACCCTAGTAGTATATCGCACCTCACATCCACTTACTACATGAAGCTATTTAGAACTACACGTACCTAAGAAAAGAAGCTACTTAATTACCTTCTAGAAGTATGTTTCTAAGGATGAGGAGACATACCTAGGAACACAATATAAGGGCCCTAATTTAGAGACGAGGTAGGTCTCTCTCGCTGAATTGCTAATACGTAGGCTGTCTATTAGATAGCCCCTCTAATACATGATTGCTAAGTCATATTATCCTATCCTTCGAGGTTATTCGTACTCTTCTAATAGGACAGCAATTTACAAGTTGCCCGTGGTGTACCTACTCTGTTCTAGAAAGCGGCAGTTTATCGCCAAGAGGCTATTGAATTGCCGGAGGCTATTGAAGTCGTATGATTCCGATCAAATCACATTTGTTGGGAACAATGGAGATTGAGATTTACATATGCCGATCGTGTGTGTCTTAAGACCATCACTCCAGACAATTTTGAGGGGTTCTCGATCCTTGGAAGGATGATCAGTGGATGCCGCCCCGGATTCTATTAGTTTGGATTCAAGTGGGACCACCTTATGCAGGTTACTGTGTACTTTCTCCCGGTGAACAAAATCAGTGGAAGACTTGGCTTTGGAATTTTTGAGAGATGCACGCAAAATCGACTACGCCAAGTCTGCCACTTACAGTACCTTGTCCACCGGGAGACTGTAAGTCTTACTGTACTACCATTGAGTATACACCACAATTCGCTATAAATCACAAAAAATTGATTAACAGCCACATTTCGCAATTCTTGCGCGCAATTTATCACCGGTATAATGTACTTTTTGTTCTTTTGGCACGGTATTATAAATTGAAGTAGGTGTTGTTATCTGAATGGCGTTGCCGAGGGCTAAGCACAAAGGTTCTTGTTTGGGTGCGATCTACAACTCTTGACCTCCCGAGATCTTTTTTTGCAATTTCCCCCACAACGCTTGGCCGAAAGTTTATCTAGTTTTTACTACGAGTCACTTGCCTGATGGGCGATCTGTAATGCCCAGTTCTCCAGAATCTTGAGCCTCATTAGCTAATGGGAAGAAGTGCTTAGAAGGTCCACAATGTAGACTCTTGGAACCGTGAAGCAAAAACGGCTCTGGTATCTAACTAGCTAGATTAATATGCCTAATAAGAACTAGAAAGGTCTTTTGGGCATATACGCTATAGCTTGATGGCAATAGAGCTAATTTAGAGCTTAAGCCCTTAAGTAAGCGCACAATAGTAGTGCATTAAGTAATAAATAATTTGTTTACTCCCTAGAATCATATAACACATCTTGTAGCTTAGTCTTGTACCAAGGTTCTTTGATACCTCAATATCCTATGTATCACCCTTTCCCAGATTTTAATAGGCACTTAGCTGTACTGTATACATGGTCGGTCTCTTGGTCAGCTGAAAATAGTCCCCATAACACACTACTTCGGCTAGAACTAGAAGCTATACATGCGCAATCGTCCTTTTAACACGAGTCGACCATATGCTTGAACTCGGGACACGAAGCAGTCTATCAACCATCTAACGGTAAAAGAGGTATCGATCAAAAAGACTGAACACGGGGCTGAAGAAGTGGTGTGTATGGTATACTATGGACATTGATCGAATTCAACTAGAGCAAAACGACGTGACTACTGACTCATAACTAAATCGTGAATGGAGAGGTAGTAAGTAGTATCTCCTAATTTCGAAGAGTACCTTTCTTGTTTGTTAAGCTTCTTTGATTACCTGTATAAAGTCCGCAGGATCTTCTGGTCAGTAAACATAAAAATATTTCTGCCTGGAATAGAATAAGCCACAGAATATTAGGAGGATTTGTTGGCTCACTATACCATCTCTCTAATTCAATGGGTAAGTGCGATAGCGTAGCTAGAGACTGTTGAAATACCTAAAGTTATCTTGTTCATCGAAAGATTCTCTAACAGGAACCAGCGAAGATTTCGAGATTCATTGAAAGTAGAAAAAGAAAGATTCGGTTATTTTCAGTGTCTTGAGATATTGTATCAATGGTAAGCTTTCAGTTTTCCATTGGGTGAGGTAATACCAAAGTTTGCATACAACTAGAAGGAAAGAGATCAAGCAAAGTCGCCGGAAAGACTCGTCAATTGCGTGAAAACGGATAACACAAGGCTCCCGCGAAGCGAATACTAGAGTACGATACCCCTAATTCTAAGCGAGAACCTTATACGATTTAGTCGCACTGGGGTGACCCAAGAGCCTGCAGTTTCTCGGTCCGTACACTATCATCGTTAATTCATACAGCGTGTATACAAACTCATCGACTGCTTAATTAGATTTAAGTAGTACTTAAGTTAAGTTAAGTAGTAGATTTAACCAATTAAATCCTATCTAAGTAAGATAATAAATAGTATAATAACTAAAATATAATGAAATTATCTTTAAGTACTAGCTTTTTAAGCTTATTATTATTATAGTAAAACTACCCTTAGGACTCCTAATCCCACTCCCTAGCTACTTAAATAGTAATTAAAGCTTATTAAGTTCTTAGCGACTTAATTTAAATGGCGATTCTTCCTACTCGAGTTAAATTAAGTAGGTACTCCTCTTAGCTCGACTACTCGAATTATACACGCGATGAAGTAGTACTTACTTTTTAGAAAGGTTTCTATTGAAAAGATATTCAGCTAAAAAGGTTCTTCTAAGACTTCAAGTACAGTGCACTACTATCCAGCATTTCGCAGGACACAAAACCGAGATCACGCACCACCCGTATTCTCCATCTCCGTAGCGAACCTTATGACATAACATATTAGTTAATCGTATATCCACCATCCACAACCTATTTCGCGAGAATTAGCATGTATGTAATTGGCGTGGCATAGATACATCATCAAGGATCCGCATATCATCCATCGAAACCATAATTCCTTCGCCAAAATAAAAGGGAGAAAAAGAAAAAGAAAAATAACCCACCAAAGCATGACCACAAACAAAACCCGCCCTATCCCCACACAGCCACAAACAAGCAGCCGCAACTTCCTCCGCAGTCCCCATTCGATTCATAGGTGCTATCGCAGTAGCCGGCCCTAGGGCAGCAGCAAAACTGGGATCGGATTGTGTCATTGGGGTTCTAACAAATATCGATTAGAATAAAAAGTACAACAGGCTTTATATAAGGAGAGATGTACTCACGCAATCACCCCCGGACAAACACAATTGATACGGATGTTATGTTGAGCGTACTAGACCGTTATCGAATTAGCCGAGCTCTCTCCGTGTATAAAGGGGGGCGGAGGGCGTTTAGTAAGATAGAGGAACGGAATTTTACATCTATAGCATCGCATTTGGTCATTGCGATGACTGCGGCTTTACTTGCGCAATACGCTGCTACTTCTTATTAATATAAGTCTTACTCGTATCATAACCTTTTAAGATGGCGAAGAACTCACGAGCGTCTCTTCGTCCTACTAACCCTAGCTGACTGGCGATATTGACAACGGCACCTCTTACACTCTTCCCCTGCAACGGCTCCTGTTTCTGCATCTGGCCTATCTCGGCTCGTGAACATAGCCATGCACCGCGGTGATTGATATTAGTGATGAGATCAAACTGCGCAAGCGAGGTTTCCGTCGACGGGGCATTATTCCCTAGGATCCCTGTACAGTACAAAGACATATCAGAACCAAAGAGACCCCGGGTTGTCTCTACCATCTCAATCCCACCAATACATCACAAATACAAGGGGAAAAAGGGAGACAGACCAGCAGCATTAACAGCATAATCCACTCCCCCATAACCTCACCGTCGCCTCGACCATCCGAATAATCTGGCTTTCATCCAGTAAATCAATCTGGATGATAGCTGTTTTTGACGTGGAAAGCTGCTCGATCGATTTCTTGGTTTCGAGGAGGCCTTCGTGGTTCCGGTCGCTGAGGGCGATTTTGGGACACCCCGCTGAGGCGAATGCTAGAGCGGTTGCGCGACCGATACCTGTGCGGTGATTCAAATCAGTCACTTCCACTATCCAACATAAGAAATAAACTTCTGATGTTATGAGTTAAATGAATCGTACCGGAAGTGGCGCCAGTCACGAGCGCTACGCCTGGGAATTGCGTCGCCATATCTCTATCTCCTTGCGAAACGGTGGATATAGAGAAGGGGTTCGTGCTGTGGGATTTGAAAGAGCTAGCTAGCTAGGTGGATGGATATCATGTAGGTCTGTATTCTTAAACCAGAAGGAGCGTTTTAGGAAGTTGGAGATGAGTATTGGCAATTGAAGAAGGTGGGGGCTAAAGAAAATTGACGATGAGCTTTATCGACGGAGATCCGAACATCCCACCTTCTAGGTATAACGTCATTGGGATATGTTGAAAAAGGGGTTGGGTTTTACTGAAGTTGTTGTTGCGAATTTTGAAGGCATTCGGAGGATTTGATATTACTGGTTTGGAATGTTTGAGGGAGTGGAAGTAGAGGAATATTTAGAGATTGTAAGACGTTCACTGATATCTGCTGATATGTGCCGTCCAGAAAAATACACTTGGTTATTCGTTATCCTTGAAGCCAGGTACCTCACTAGCTGCCTAATTTGGATTAGCGAGGATATATAAGTTTGATAATACCAAAGTATACTCTAATGTCAAATCATTTAACGAACATCTAGGCCTGCGCAAAACCAACAATGCTTATTTTTAATTAAACCTTGACCGACACAGATCGAGAAAGCTATTAATTTTGTTGATATTATAAGGGTTCACTCTCGCTAGGATACTACCGTTATGCCTTCGTCGTCACTATCATCTCCATCGCTCCCAGTCTGCATCTGTTCACCACCATCCATCATTTTCTTCCACTGATCTGCGAATTCTCTCATGGAACTCTCGCCACCCAGACTCGCATCTACCACATCCTTGGGCAACTTGTGCGCGCTGTATTGTGGACTTGTAAAACTATATGCCTCTGGGTCGTCCTTCTTGACTAATCTAATCTCCGGTTTCCATTCCAATTCTTCCACGTCTTCGTCTTGCGTATCTTCATCACTGCTAACCATGATGGGTGCAGTCGCAGATGACTCTGGAACACCAAGAAGTGGTGTAGGTAAAGACATCGTAAGGAGCTCCAACCATGAAAACAGTAGCGGGTCGGTACGTGGAGCCCAAGGATTTATGTCCATAAGTCTAACTTTGTCGTAAGGTTCTGGAATATAAACATCAAACACCAAATTCTCATCTGGAAATGTTGTCTTTATCGTCTTATCAAAGTACTCCAATATAGTATCTCTGAGCTGTTGTCGCATTGGAAACAAGAAATCGAAATGATTCAGGTCTCTCTGACAAATTCCAATTACCTTCCTCCGCTTGACAAAACAGCGGAACTCGCAAGAAGGATTTGCTTTGAACCATTTCTTTAAAACCAACACATATTTTATATCCTCTTGCCGCAGAGATTCGTCTCCGGCGCAGTCGTCGAAGGCGTGTTCTAAGTCATGGGTGATGAAGTCTGAGGATTTGAGTAATAGGTAAATATCGTTAGGAGTCGCACATTCCATGCTGTTCTTCGTCATACTGATCCACGTCGCATCTTTGGGTGACGACCAGTTGAGCTTAGGCGCAACAAGCCCTCCTAGTTCGGTGATTGTATCTTTGATTTGTTGGTGAATTTCTGGAAACTTTAAAGAGGGATCGTCTTCTTCATCCTCGTCCCACCCATCGTCACCGGAGGTGTTGTCATTCGTACTTGGATTAGGTACGGCAGCCTCTGGGGGAAGGACTATGCCATCTTCGCGAAGGTATGTGAGGAACGCGGTAGAGAGAGGAATGATTCGAGATTTGAGGGTCGATGATCGGTATCTGGGGTGGGTTTTTAGCATGCTTTCCTTTTTTCTGAGTTCAGAAGGGGTTCAAGTTATTACTTGGGATGCCAATAATCGTACGAACAATGAATAATATGCGACCTCAAGATGGGATCGAATGGGAGTCTGGTCAAAGGTTGTACTTGGAGGGGTTCTTCAGAGGAGTCTATGGCTGGCATTTTGGCGGACTTGAAATAAATTTTCAGTTATTAACAGCAGATGTTTCGAAAGAAATCTAGAAACTATCGAGCAGAAGAAATAGTCATACCATACGCTTGGTGAATATCCATGAGCGAGTACTCGTAATGAGATTTGAGTCACCAAAACAACCCCCCGAGGGGCAATGGCAGAATCTGGACCCATTTTCTGTAGGGCTGCGCCGACGTGGTGCCGAGAGCCACGCCTGAAGCTACTGCCAAAGTGATCAAGGAGTCCCCAAAGCTTCTACAAGAACCACAGTAATACAACAATCAAAACTTACCTTCTGTTTATGCAATCAGATAACTTCGCAGACAATTATCATGTCTTCAAACGTTGGACTCACTACCCCTCGGGGCAGTGGAACCTCTGGATATGTTCAACGAAATCTTGCACACCTGCGACCCCGCGACCAAGGCAAACCTTACTCCACCGATATCGATAGCATGAAGCACCGACCGAGACAGCCAGATAAGGAAATTCTGGAGCACGACCGGAAGAGAGCTGTCGAGTTGGAAGTGTTTGAACTTAGAGATATGCTAGAGGACGAGGGGTACGTTTCATTCTCCGCTTCCTGTTTATATCCTCCCTGCATTACAAGCTAACGGATGTGGTATAGTGTTGACGAGGAAGAAATCGAGATCCAAACAGAAGGCCTGAGAAAGAAGCTACTGAAAGAGCTCGAAAGAGGTAGAGGAGGTAGCCCGAACGCGAAGGGGTTGAAGATGCATCAAGTGCACGAATTGGCGGAGGCGAAGATCAAGCAGGATAACAAATTCAGAAATGCTCTCGGCATCAGCAAAAATTACGAAGAGGGTAGTCATTGGAAGAGAGATGAAGAGAAAAGGGCAGCAAAGATGGAGAAGGAGGGTCGATCGAAAGAGGAAGAATGATTGAGCGAGTATATGGAGTTTGGGACCGGAACTGGGATCTTGTGGGAATTGGAGTATATGGGTCTTTCTGATGGTATGTGGAACTTTCCGCACGTTTAAGAAATGGGAAATGTAAGATTTTATATCACTTCCCTCTATTACAATTGATTACAAGCCGTGGTCCAATTCTGCCAGAATTTCAGGCTCTTTGAGACAGTTTCGTTGCTGCCTGACGTAGTTAAATGGGCTAGGACTAATACTGACATTTCCAAAAAGCCCAGCAGATACAATTGGGGAGCAAATTGAATCGCTTCACTGTGTATGGCGATCATAGCTTGTGCCTTTTCTCACCGCTGGCAAGCTTCCTGAATTCCTCCTGAGGCACTCCTGAAGCGAATCGTTCGAGTCCTCCAAAAACCTCCGCTACTCCTTGTGCATCCATGATTTCTCTTTCCGGTTTTCTGATCAGAGCCTTGATCTTTATCAAACTCTCTCCATTCAAATGGTCTCCAAGTCTATTTTCAATCTCCTCAAACACAAGCCTCCGGAACTTTTCATCCTCACCCTTTTCACAATCGAATATCTTATTCACGAACCCAACTTGCAAGAGCTCCTCGGATGTTATTCTTTTGCTCATGATCAAAGCTTCATTAGCTTTGCTGATGCCCAGTCGTTGGACAAAGGCTTTCGATGCGCCTCCCTCAGCAACGAGTCCGATACTGGAGAATGGAGTGAGAAGAAATGTTGAAGGAACGCAGTATATAAAGTCGGCGAAAGCTATCAAGGCAGCGGAAAGACCAATTGCAGGTCCATTCAAAGCTGCAACGAGAATCTTGGGGTGCGTGTAGAAGGCATGGGTTATGTTGAGATTGTTGGCCACGAAACTCTGCAACCAGTGTTTTTCTATGTCCCCTTCAGGTCGGGGCTCACTGATGGATACATCTGCTCCTCTGAAGTTTGATATTAGCATCGCTTCGGACCCACATCTCTCGATCCTAATTGAGACTCACGCAGAGAAAAAACGTCCTGCTTCGATGTTAGATAAAGCCACGTCGTAGAATCAGGAATCCATAGTTACCCTTCCCAGTCAAAACTGTAATGAAAACCTCATCATGCGTAGCCACCTCTCTCATATACTTCGCAAGTTGGTAATACCCATCCTGATTCAAAGCATTGAGCTTCGTCTCATTCTCAATCGTAATCACCGCTATCTTCCCTCTATATTCCAGAGTCACTGTCTCGGCCATGGTGTAAATCTGATGATGTCTAGAGATATATAGTTGCAATGTGATTTGATTTGATGTGATATGGGGAAGTGAGCTGTGTTTGAATTGGCTTAGAAACCTTTTCTCTGTATTTAAAGAGGTTGCGCGTAAAAACGTGGGGGATGTCAGATCGCACCCCTGAAGAGCCGAGGGGACCGAGGTATCTTGAGCTGTTAGGAGCTCAATTCAAAGGCTGTGATTGGTTGAGAATGGCTGTGATCCCGTGATTTTCTTCAAGTGGACGGGAGTGCCCAGGTGGTGGGATTTTGCCGCCTTGAAATATACAGTCCTTGCACGATCAGCGAGCATAGGTATTGCGCCCACACCATCCCAACTACAACCCCCCAAACAAATACACCCCCATATACCAAAATGGGTGGTCCCAACCTCGAAGTTTTCAAAGTAATTCTCCCTCCCCCTTCCCTCTCTCCCTTATCCTCTCCTCTCCCCTCCCTCTCCCATCCCATCCTCCTCCCCATACTAACAAGCAATCCATTAGTTCGGGATGTACATCATGTTCCCCATCGCCATAATGTACTACTACGGCACGAATCTCGACAACAAATTCTCTGTCCCGGGCTTCTGGCCGAAACCCGAGCAGACGAATCGTATACCCTTTGAGAGGGAGGAGATACGGAGTGAGCTGGAGAGGTTGAGGACGAGGAGATTGTATTTGAGGGAGAGGAGACTGGAGGCTGAGACGAGGAGGAGTGGGGGTGAGGATGGGGACGGGGGGTCGAGGTGAGGGTTTTTGGGGGAGAGGGGTTGGAGAGGGAATTGGGAATGGCGGGGAGGAATTGGGACTTGGGAATTGGAGTGGGCGGGGTCGGGTTGGTGGGGTGGGTTTGGTGTCCAGGTTGGTACGGGAGATGTTGGTGGGATATTGCGAATTGGGAGGGATATGTATGATGGGTTTCTCGACTGGGTATAGTACATTGGGAGCCGCTGTGGGAGATCTATGATGGCGATATCGAATAGGCACGCTGAGCACTGGCGCGGGAGATTCAACGATGGTGGTATTGGCTTGGAACATCGAGGACCGGGAAAAAGGCGTTTAAATATGCATTAAAGGCGTTGAGGATTAGGGCAAATATTCGACATTGAACGACTGACTGCAAGCAAAAGCTCTACGACTAACATCATGATTCGTTTTGACGGAGAACTGACAGAGTCCCCGCTATATTGTACAAATACATCTTTTACATTTGTTGTACATTCTATGTTTCTTTATGAGTCTAATTTGCTTTGTACATCCTCCCATTCTTCATCAGTCAAACTTCCTTGCGCAACATTCGCATACACTGCCTGGACACATTGCTGTTCCCTCATGAGATTGACGAAATCCAGGAATGGCTTCGTGGATTCTGCATCTAATGGCACTTTGGTATCCTCATTTGGGTCCCAGAGGATCTGTGAACTTTCCGCCTTTAATCCCAAGCTCTTCTCCAAAGATTGCGCCGCAGAAGTTGTTTTATTTGGCTCCGTCCAAAGTACTATACCCCCATCTTCATCGGTCTCTACATCCTCAGCGCCAGCCTCGATCGCCTCATCTAGTACTTCATCCACACCTAGCGATTCATGCGCCTCGAATGATACCCGTCCTTTCTTCTGGAACAAATACGTCGTAGGTGTAGCAGCTCCGCCCGCCTTCTTGACATAGTACCGTAGGTCTTCCAATGTGCGCTTCGCTCTATCGGTTTCGGCTTCGATGATCATGGCTATCTGAGGTGGCACGATAGCTTCTAGTGTGATGTACTCGAGAATCGCTCCAGTCGCTGATTTGCCTTGTCCCCGTGCTATTGCTGCCTCTATATTTGCTTTTGGATATCCGCCTAGCATTTGTGAGCCCGTGTTATATTTCTTCGTCGTCGATGGGACGTGGTACCCCATTATGTACCTTTTTTGGCGTTGACCAAAGCGGTCGCGAGTTTGTAATTCTGGTTTGGATCAGGTCCGCCCACTATATACTTGTTAGTTATCTGCCCAGTAACAGGAAGTTGGTTTTCTTACTTCTCGAAGCAAAGGCTATTTCATCTGAGAGCAATTGGTTGGCTTTGCTTCTTCTATGGTCTACGACACCTTTGTCATGTTTGATTTTGGACCAGCGACTGTGACCTGATTGCGCTGTGGATGTGGTGGAGAATTGGGAGCAACGTGAACATGAGAAGTTATTTCTTGTTGCGCTAGAGCGAAGTCCTCTGGAAAAAGAGGCCATAGTAAATGAATGTGTGCTTGTGAGACTGAGCAAAAAGTGATCTCATGGATGGTTATCCCCAGAAATTCATAAACCCGATGTTATTCCGATATGCACCTTCACGAACGACACAACGCAAGTCTGCTCGACACTGCTGGCGCAAAGCAACCCCTCCTCAATACCACCTCTCTTGCACGTCTCCTCGATCCCCCATAAAGACGTGTCAATGTCCTCAACAAATTTTTCCGCCTCCGCGAACGGATCCCAGGTCGCCCTTCCCTCTCGATCAGAGGTATCCTCAACTCCTGAGCTCGACCTCAAGAAGCTCCAGTCCCTCCCTTCAGAACAACAGGATCTCTACCTGCTAAATTTCGTATCCACCCTCACAAAACATGTTGAAGGACTAGAGCCTGACGATTGCACGGCACAACAATTATATTTGAAGCGAGAGATCTTCCAGATTCTAAATCTAAGTGCGCCGCCGCCTACACGAGTAATCAGGAACAATCTTGGACGATGCCTGGCGCATATACTTGGGACAGGGGACCGGAAACTGCTGTTCGAAACGATCAATGACTTATCAACTATAATAAGCAGCAGTAAGGCCAAGTCAGATGCGGATTTTAGGACCAAGCATGCAGCCGTGTACTGCATTGGTGATGTGTTTGCTGCAGCTGGGGATAGTGCGATTGGGTTGCATCCGTTGGCCTGTTCAGCCTTGTTGAAGTTGTTGAAATATGCACAGAACAACGCGGGTTTGCGAGCGGCTATCTTCAAGGCTGCGGGGAAGATTGCCAGAATGTTGGGCAAGAGTATGGACGAACCCATGACCAGAGATATTTGGAAACAGGCGAGGAGTTATGCTGCCAGTGATAAATCGGCGTTAGTACAAATTGCTGCGTGCCAATGCATGAAGATGTTGGCGAAATATACGCCTTATTTCGACTATCAGAGCGATTTTGAAAACCTCAAGACGGCGGTATGGAAAGCTATCGACTCTGCAAGTCCCCTAGTGAGACAAGCAGCGGGAGAGTGTCTTGCGGAGGTCATGGTGAAGAACTACTCAGAAACTCCAATACAGGATACAGAAGTTCCATCAATCAAGAAATTAAAAAGATCGAATACCAAGCGCAATTCTATGATTGCAGGGGGCGACGATGATGAGATCCAAAGACCAGCAAGTCCTGGGCCCAAAAAGAACCAAATCATCCATTTCTCATTGGCGGATATGCTGAGACAGCTATCAACCTTTTATGTGAAATCATCGACTACGACTCGAGCAAGAGCTGGTGTGGCTGTATGTTACAGCAGGATTTTCAAAAGTCTCAGCGAGCGAACCGTTGAAGCGTCGTACATGAAAATCGTTGATCATCTTACAGTTGATGTGTTGAGTCACAACAACATCACCAATAATAGATATCGGCTTTTGACAACTCGTCGATTTGTACAAATTATCTTGGAAGACGTGATTGGACACAACATCCTTGGTGAAGCTGGCCAGATTGATGCTGCAAAAGCTTTGATAAATGGTGTCTTGAAGAACTATCCCCAAGTCATCAAGGAACGAGCAGAACCATCTAAACACGCACTTATTGCGGTACTAAGTGCTTTGGCATCTTTGATGAAAATCCTTGGTTCCGCTTCAAACGCCTTTGCCGATTCGTGTCGAGATGGATTGTTGCAAGTTCTCCAGCACCCAAGTTATACAGTTCAGATATACGTCTCCTACTGTCACCGTACATTTGCTCTTGCTTGTCCACAGCAACTCCTACCTTGCCTTACAATATGTATGAATAGCGTCAATCGAGAATTGAATCTTCTTCCAACGGGAAGAAACTCGCCCCGTCGTTGTATTGGGTATGCGAATGGTCTTTCGGCTATGATTTCTACGGCGCCTTTACAACCTCTTTACGGATCCGTGGATGTCAATAGTCGAGTGCTGTCTCTTGCTACAGGGCTTTTAAAATCGAGCAGCAAATCCGAATTACGTATTTCGAGTACCCAAATTCAAGTCGCTTGGATTTTGATTGGGGGGCTCATGTCACTGGGGCCCAACTTTGTCAAAATCCACCTTTCACAATTACTGCTTTTATGGAAGAATGCTCTCCCCAAGCCGCTTGCCAAGGATAATACCTCGCAGCGAAGTTACCTCGAATCATCCTTTCTCACACACGTGAGAGAATGTGCTCTAGGGTCTATATTAGCTTTTCTTCAATTCAACAGCAGGCTGTTGACTGTGGATGTGTCCAAGCGTATTGCGGCCATGCTTCAGAATACATCAGCATTTCTGAAAACCATGCCGGCAAAGAAATTTTCTGACGACATTACACAAAGGCTTACTCCTTCCTTGCAACTGCATGATTATGATTTGATGGTGCAGCGTAGGGTACTGCAGTGTTACACCAAATTGGTTAATTTGAGTCCCGCTGGTGGAAGTGAGGCACTGCTTCAGTCTAATCTTCTTACCCTTGCTGTTTCATTCTTTGCTGATCCGGAAAACTATACGCCAAGCTCGTTGAGTTCCTCGATTGCAAATTCTGCTAGTACATTTGACAACATCTGGGATGTTGCTGATAATAGTGGCTTTGGAGTGACAGGAATGGTTCGTGGATTCAAGGTCAAGAAACTTCCAAATGAGCATGAAGGGGATGCTCACGAAGATTGGGCTGAAGAGAGAGGATATGATGCTGCGATTTCTAAAGTACTCCTCTCCCCTATCTGCAGCTCGCTTGAGCACGATTCCTTAGCTTTATATCTTGGCAACCTTGGCAGTCATGACACACTTCCAGATCCGACAGCTACAGAAGTTGTCAACATTGCAATTCAGCTGTTTGCTATTGCATTTCCTCTTACCCCTTCAAAGATCCAAGAGAGTATTCTTGAACAAGTCGCGACATTCATGTCGGCAGGCTCCCTCCAACGAGATCCAGGGCGAAAGGCTGCAATGAATATAAACGTCGCGACCGCCATATACTCAACATTGAAGGTAGCTACAAAAGAGACCACATCCCCGTCTGGAGATCTCGCAAATCCGGCAGTGGAGAAGTCGTTGCAGGAAATCATACGGCCTTTCGTCATTCATCAAGATCAGTACCTAAGAAGCATTGGTTACGAGGCTCTTGCGCGACTATGCAACAGCTCTGGAAACGCATACACAAACCAAGAGGTCAAGTTCCTCATTGATACAATTGTGGCGAACCGTGAGCCGACTGCTCGGGCCGGCTGCGCAATGGCTTTGGGGTGTATTCATTCTCAGGTTGGGGGTATGGCGGCCGGATTCCATCTCAAAACTATTGCCGGAGTATTGATGTCTCTATGTCAAGATCCTCACCCGACCGTTCACTTTTGGGCATTGGAAGGGCTTACCAGGGTTGCTGAGTCTGCTGGATTGACTTTCTCGGGGTACGTTTCAGGCACTTTGGGGATCATCTCACAAATGTATGTTTCGGACACCCACAATGAGGATATCCCCTCACTTCCTACATCAAATCTGGAGTTGGAGTTATCAACAACTGCAGCGATTACTAGATGTGTTGACTCCATGATCAATGTACTAGGCCCTGATCTTCAAGATATGACTACTGCCCGCGAACTAATATTGTCCCTGATCGGGCAATTCCAGGCTGAAGAGTCTACCCTTGTTCTGGCAGGCACTCTGAAGTGTTTGGATCATCTCGCATTGTACGCACCGGGGCATATGGTCTTTGCAGACTATGTTGTACAACTACAAAAGGACTTGAACTCAGTTTACCCAGAATTGAGAGATATCGCGGTTGACGGACTCTACAACTTGATGAAACGTCATTCCGAGGACGTGGTGAAAGCGGCTCAAGAAGGATTTGAAGACCAACTTTGGCTTGCACTTGATTCTGCGCCCAGCCATGAAGGTATCAGAAATGTAATCAGAAATTGGCTACAGCAATCGTGTCTTACTGACACCACGAGATGGCTGGTGAGATGCCAAAATGTCTTGACGATGACGAGATCCAAAGCGGAGGATACTTTCGCTGCGTCTACGAAAGCTAGCGCGATGCCTGATCTCCAAGATGAGGAAGTAGCTGGTTTTGCTGCCGCTGCCGGAGTGGGTGAAGAGAAAGGAGCTGCTGCTGGAGCTGGCCAGGAACCATTGAGGTGGCAAGTTCGAACATTCGCAATGAGCTGCTTGGGTGACATTTTTGTACTTGTAAGCAAAGAAGCATCACCAGATTCGCAGACGCCGGCAGAAATGGATCTGCAAAAGAGAGTCGCCGATGTTATTCGAATGGCGTTCTCGGCTTCCACTTCCAACGTTGTCGAGCTGCGAGTGTGGGGGCTCAAGATAATTGATGCAGTGCTTAAAATGTTTGGAAAAACACCCGATCCGGATTTCTCTGAAGCACCATTACTAGAGCAGTATCAAGCACAGATCAGTTCTGCTCTCACCCCCGCATTCGCGTCTGATTCGTCACCGGAGCTTGCCTCGGAAGCAGTCAATGTCTGCGCAGCTTTCATCGCCACTGGGATTGTTACGGATGTCGATCGAATGGGTCGAATTTTAAAGACCATAGTCACCGCTCTCGAAAACTTCTCGACAGAATCTGAGGTGGCTTCTATTGGGGATCTCAAAGGTCTTAGCTCCAATGCGCAAGTCATGGTAAAGATGGCTGTCTTCTCTGCTTGGGCTGAACTTCAAGTCGCAAGCACTGAGCAGCTCTATCTAGTAGATGTTCTGAAGCCTTATATCGGGACACTTACTCCATTGTGGCTTGCATCTCTTAGAGAATTTGCACGTCTCAGATTCGAGCCAGATATTTCAATGAGCTTAGGCCCTCCGTCCTTGTCCGGCAGTCTTGATAGCATCTACTCCGCTCTAAATCGGGAGACCTTGTTGGGTTTCTACCAAGACTCTTGGTTAAAACTTGTTGACGCTATTGCAAGTCTTATCGAACAAGACAGCGAATTTGTATTCGATGCTCTTGATGGGAAGGACACAGATGCGCCTTCTACAAACGGTCACTCAAAGAGCAATGATATCAATTATCGTGATGAACCTGTAGCTTTCTTCTTTGTGCTCTTCGGTATTGCTTTCGAAGCACTCGTCGCCCGGCCTGGTAGCGATGCGCTAGCCACGAAAGAGCAGACATTGGAAATATTGCAAGCGTTAAAAAAGATACTGCACCCAAGTGTCTCTGGACATGCCATCTATCGTGAGGCTATTTTTTCCGAGACCATGGATCTACTAGATCGATTGGTCCTTACAGAAGGGCTGGACGTTCAAGCAGTCATCGTACAGATCGCAGGAGGCCTGTGTATATCACATCCCTCCGCAACCAAGGCCACGGATCCGGAGAATGGCGATTTGTCCGAAGATATCGAGCAATTGTTTGAATTGACTCGTATCATTGTACTAGTACTCGCCGGACTCCTTCCAAATCTCATTGAAGCACGACAATCTGCTCGCCACGCAATGACTGACGAAGTTGTTGTCCTGGTTCGTGTTTCGTTGAACGCTTTGGTCGATGCTTCGGAAGTCTTTCCGGCAATCATCAAGACTGATCTGCATGCCTGTATAATTCACATATTCGCTACTATCCTTGGTACAGCAAGCTGTCAAGCTGTTGTTGTAGCTCAATCTCTTCCAATACTCAAACGCTTCATCACCAGCATTTCTTCTATTCGGAAGGGCAAAAGAGAAGAGCAGGACACTAATCTCACTCAAATTCAAGGATGTCTCAAACGCTTCTTATCCATCTATCTCAATGCCCAGAAACGAGAAACAGAAGCCTCTCTGCCTTGTGTTAAGAACACTCTCTTGGCATCGACATTGCTTCTCACTAGCGGCAAGAACTACATGTCAACTAGCGAGCCTCTTGTTGCTCGCTTTCTTGAGGGGGTCATTGATTGCCTGAGTGACCGCATGGTAAGTTTTCCAAGCAACGTCTAATTTATCTAGCTAACATAATAAACTAGACTGCGAAGGTTGCTTCCAACTGCATCCGCACCATGCTCCTCTCGTCACATAAGACTCCAGCAGATCAAAGTATTACTCGTTTCCTTCTTCCTCGCCTCGTCGCATTCGTAACAGAAACCGGCTCGGAAGATCCAGAGAATGCGCGTGCTCTCGTCTCACACGCTTTAACGACTTATGTAACTACTCTCACCGGCCCTCAGAGAGGTGTTGCGATGTCTGTCATTGTGCCGACTCTTCTCTCACGTGCGAATAGTGAGGGTGAAGGCGTTTATAATGAAACCAGTAGTCGTCTTTTGGAGCTAGCTGCTAGTGATCAGGCGGCATTTAGAAGTGTCGTTGGTGGAATGGGTGATGCGCAGAAGGGGTTCATGGAGAGTGTTATTATGAAGGGCTGTGCTGGTAGGGGACACAAGAAGGTTGAGAGTGGAGATGATGAAGGGAAGGAACCTACGATTGCTTTGAGGATGAACTTTGGTGGTTGAGAGGATCAGGTTAATTGTGGTTCAGGATTGATACTGTAGGCCCTGGTTGGGTGAAGAAATGTGAGATGAATCATAATGAAATATTTCGATATCCATGAGGTACCGGGGGTTTCCTTTGGTTTTTGGGTTGGACTGGTCACGAGACCGGTAGAGAGAGCCGTATCTCATTCAGAAGAAGATCCGAAAGGTAGGGTGGGAGGGGTGGTGGGAAATGTACTGTAATTGGATGCTTGGGTTTATTGGTCGCGTCCTACGAGAAGGGGGCTTACATACCGTGCTGCATGTGTAGCCCCCACCTTCGAGTGTATATACCGGTACCTATTGATAGAGAAGAGAAGAGTTTATAAGCCACTAAAAGTACGTCGTTGACGATGTCTAGACGTGCTCCCGGGATTCTCTGAGAGAAAGAGTTAGTGACTCCCGAGATCCTTCAAGCAAGCCTGTTTTTCTACTTCTGACTGTATGCAGTACCGATCAGAGTTGACCACTCGTCCTCAACGACAAAAACCGCCATCTATTAGGCAGTCTTTACGCCCACCCTGCTTTTCTGGACTCACATATAACGAAAGCCCATAGAATCATTTACAAGTCCCTCACCACCTATCCCTATCCATTCCCCCATCCATCCCACCCCTCCCCAACCCCGGAATAGGCAACCTCTCCTATTCCTGAACCGTCACAAAATGACAACTCAGGAAACAAAAACAACCAAACTCAAGCTCCGCACAGCCCTAGGAAGAGTCTACCGTGACGTCCTCAATACCCCCCCTCGAGACTGTACCGAAGAAGAGATCCCCGTCATCTCCCTCACGCCGCTGTTTTTAGATGACGACGAAGGAGTAGAAGATGGAGATGGGGGTGTATGTGTGGGTAGGCAGGCGAAGAGGAAGTTGGCGGCGAAGATTAGGAACGCGGCTGTGGAGACGGGGTTCTTTTATGTGAGGGATCATGGGATTCCCGGGGGTGTTATTGAGAGGGCTAGAGTGGAGGGATGTGGTGAGTTTTTGTGTGAGGGGAAGGGGAAGGGAAAGGGAGGGGAAAGTGCTGATTCTGGGATTGTAGGTTTTTTAGACAGAGTGAGGGGGTGAAGGGGAGGGTTAGTCAGGGGCTTTCGAGGGGGTTTAATGGTTGGAGTGAGTTCTTTCTTTCTTTCTCTCTTTTTTTCAGTCCATGTTCTTTGGGAAACATGCAGCTCATACACTCTCTCGCTTGAACCCCTAATATTGTTTATCAACCATCCATCTGATTCTCACCCCCACTGTGAGCATCTAAGTACTACCCAAGAACTCCTCAAATCCTCAATTCTACGATCCTCTTTTATCTTCTTATACTATAGTAAGATTCCTAACAACCACACAGAAGAGTCCGGACAAACAAACATAAGTCCCGGCGAAACAGCCGATCTTAAAGAATCCGTTGGTCCTTTCCATTTATATTCCAGAGAGGTTCCTGTTTTTAGATTTATTGTGATTTGTTATGACTGATTGTGGTATTTTCAGTTCATGTGGCAATACGATCCTAAATATGATCCTGATCCCAAACCTCTTGACGATATCCCGGAGGAGTTAAAACCGCATTTGCGAGCTGAAGAATTTGTTTGGGAAGGAAGTGTGTACACCCCCATCACGCCTCCCTTCAAATCTGTCCGAAGAAGATAAAAGGGGGTAGTCTATCCAGAACTATCCCCTTCCTCTACGAACCACCGCTAAAAGAACCACCACTCACCCCCCCAGCCTCCCACCTCCCAGCCTTCAAACCCGCCCTCCTAACCTACTGGTCCTCCTGCCTCACCCTCTCCCGGCAACTCCTCCGCATCGTCGCCCTCTCCCTCTCCCTGCCAGCGACCTACTTCGACAGCCGGGTAACATATCCAGGGGCCGACGGCGTGATCAACTACTACCCACCCGTCACTCCGGAGCAAAAAGCCGTGCAAACCGTGGGACTTGGGAGCCACACGGATGTGCAGCTCTTCACACTGCTCTGGCAGGATATGACGGGTGGACTGCAAGTGTTGAATCGGCAGGGTCAGTGGATCAATGCGAAACCCATTGAGGGGACGCTGGTGGTTAATATTGGGGACTTTTTGATGAGGTTGAGTAATGATCTCTATCGGAGTACTGTCCATAGGGTTTTTAATTTTAGTGAGGGGGAGAGGATTTCTATGCCGTTCTTTTTTGGTGGGTTTTCTTTTTTGCTTGTTGCAGGTCTTCTTCCTGTTTGGTCGTTGCTTGCGGGTGATGGGGTGTATGCTGATGGGACTAATAGGGTTGAATTTTAATTGTGTGGAGGGGGTTATTCCTACGTGTTGTTCGGAGGAGAATCCGGCTAAGTATGAGCCGATTTCTTGTGGTGATTGTGAGTTCGCTTTTCTCTCTTCCGGGTCTGAGTAGGAGGGTTGAGCTGATGGTTGGATAGGGTGTCATCTTAGGTTTAGTAAGGAGAAGGAGGAGTTTGAGGAGAAGATGGGAATGCAAGCGAAGGCGCCGAGTGGGAGGGTGATTGCTGCTTGAACGTCTGTGGATGGTAAATATGGTTGTAATATCAGACTGTGTAATCTTGGAATGGGACTTGAATTTGGTGGGGCTTTCCGGGATGTGTTTGGAAAGGTGCTTTATCTTTTTTCTGAAGAAAAAAGGAAATAAGAATATGGATTAAGAGAACCCATGCTCCAAACTCCCTTTGATCATCTTAGGTCTACTGGCCGTAAAAAGGTAACACCTTGACTCACCAATGAGATACGCAGACCAATTGACCACAAAGTCAAATTCCCAATCCCAGTTTCCGAATCATAAATTCATAAACTCATAAATCGGAGTATCATCCTCCCATCCCTCTCTCAAACAACTTTCTGCACAAGCTCAATCAAATCAAAAAAGGCCTCTCGTTCCATATCCACCTTCTCCAGTCCCAACCCCACCAACACCGTCCTCCTCTCCTCCGGATCCCTCTTCGCAATCGCCGTCACAATCTGACTCGCATACAAATGCCCCATCGTCTCCCTCTGGTCACCACCAGCTCCAAGTAATGTCTTGGGCGTGAGATGGTTGAGGGATAGCATATCTCCACTGTCGGAGGGTAGCGCGGTATCAAAGGATGTTGGTGAGGCTGAGGGGAGCGGGACTTGAATCTATTTCACATTAATACATATATTATATATGCGCTAATAAGAGGGAAGAGATACCCATTGTGCTAATCGTCCGCCTTGGGAAATGGTGATCAAGATCTTGTCTGCGAAGTACATGGAGCAAAGATCTGTTTCCACGCCGTTTACGAGACCGGCTACTTCTTTTGTTTTTGCGGGGAAGGGGGAGGATTCGAGACCGCTGTTGTCGCCTATTTGTAGGGCGTCGAAGCCATTGGGTAGTGTTGAGGCTGTCATGTTTGGTTTGGTGTGGTGGTGTTGGTGTTGTGGTTTTGAGAGCCTTTCTTCAGCCTTGTTGTGGCGTCATCGGCGATAAGATTAGATTGAGTTGATGCCAGGAGCAGGGGCAGGCAGGTGAAAGCTTCCTTCTCTCGCTTAGAGCTTCGCTACTGCAGTCTACTTTAGTATGAGCTCTACTGCTCTACATCACTTCACTAGACATGGTGAAAATTGTGTTTGAGAACTGGAATGGGCAAGTATCTTTTGTTACTTTGGTGTAACTTATGGCAGAGTGACTCGACATAGATATATTTGGAAAATCTTGTAAGTTTTGTTCAGCGATTAGTCTTTGTGTCCTAGAACTATACTGTAAGATTACGGAGAGTGGGTATGCGATATCTTTACGTCTACTCTGTCTGGATATCGGAATCCGGAATTTGTCGTAATATCTTCGTACAGGTTGTTTGTAAGCTGCTGTTAGATGTGCATATTTTGCTTGTCTCGAAAATAGGTAGGTTTAATAGATAATAGTCCCCGTTAACGTAATAAGTTTAAGAACACACTACAGTATAATGTATGAGAATATGGTTATGAATTATGATTCATCTTGTAAACAACAACAGAAAAGAATAAAGCGAAAGGTGTATAGACCCCTAGACAGAGGTGCCGAGCTCCTGTGCATCAAGAATTGCCATAATAGAGAAGCGTTAGCTCTCTTCTCCATACCAAGCTTCTGCTGTTGTCGTAAAGTCCGATTAGGGGTTTTTGATGTAGCTCGCTTTGTACTTGCCCTCAATTCAGTATCATCAAGTTCTCTAACGAGAGTTACACAACACCGCAAGGAACAGCGCTCTATTTGATTACCCAACAAGCAGGTATAAGTTGAGGTTCACAACTTTCTCAACCTCAACTCATGTTTCTAGAATTTGCCGTGTGGATCGTCCTTCTCATATTGCTTGCATTTGTTAATCGTTGGACTCCTCCTACCTAAGAGACCTCTGCAAGAGGACTAGCGTTGTTTTTGAGCACAAGAGGCCACTCTCATCCACCTCTTTTTTCCCTGCGGTTTCTTCACTATGTGAGCCGTTTTCAGAAGAACAGTGACCTACACGTATCTTGTCCATCACCACCTGCCCATTGATACAATCTCCGATAGAGTGTATTGCACCATTGCGGGCATGCTGAGCGGCCTGCCTAGCCTTTGTGTGACCCTCGATACCTGAACGAGCTGGAATAAGACGCAACTCCACTTCGATACCAAGAGAGATCAACTGCTCAGATGCGAAAATAACTGCTGCAATCTGACGCAGGCCCGAATGATTCGTTCCTAGTGTATGTAGGGTTGTTTGAAAACGAATGAATGATTTTAACGCAGAAATGGTAGTTGTATAAATGCAAACCACTTTCGGCCGTTCATCCTCACTGATCTCGCGGCAGTCTTCCCAAGCTGTATAAAGGGCTTGGGCAATTGCATAACGTTGCAATTCATCCACCGACTTAATAGGTTTCCGAGGACGCCACGCCCTTTCGATCCATTTATCGTCTTTGTTGGAATATCGAACAAGGCCTATGCCAGCGCGAGCATCGGATTTTTGGATAGATTCGTCGTCAGGTTGAACGCCATGGGTCCAGTAGATTTCTCTGCCGTAGCCCGAAAGAGTTCTATTGTTATAATCTTGCGTTGCCGCTTCCAGGGCAGTAGCTCTAGTGGATATCGTCACTGTTCCGCGGAAAAGGGTGCATTTGAGGATATCCTTTAGCGGAATCTGGATCTGTGGGCCCTGGGGTTTTGGCTTTGGTGGATTTGGTGTCGGCCATGGCTTTGGCTTTGACTTTGGACGGTCACCTCTTGCTTGAGTGAGAGTACAGAGGTTGCAGCCAGGACATGTGGGTAAATTGTGTTTCTCCAGTGTGAATTGTTCTCGCTCGTGTGCTCTTCGAGCTCTTCTCAAAGCATTTTTGTCGAGTGGTGCCTGAGTAGCCATGTTTGATAATGAATTTTATCTTAAAGTGATGTGACGATTTTGATATTTCGTGTGCTATTTTGCTGATGGTTGCTGAGTTAAGTACCCAAATGTCAATAGATGCTTAGAGGAGAATTCCAGATGGTCTTATGCAAGATGAGCTCCGTGAAGCCATATACCACTAGACTCCACTAGATCTGCCCTAAAGTTTTTGCCCGACATCCCTCGATCGTCATTATTCACCCTTCGCTAGAACAACACTAGAGTGCAGAATTCTGGGCTATTCACATAGCCGCGAAAGCGGTGCTTCCCACTCTCCGTGCTAATTTAGTGTGTGTTAGTTTATAGAGACAGATTCCGGGGAAACAAGTCACTAAACAACCCTACTTGCTGCCACTAAGGTGAATAAAAGGAAAGTAGCAATTATACTCTTTGAAAGAGAAAAATGACAATGATAATAGAGCAGAAGGATCCTCGACGATAATCGTATATCCCAGTAGGAGCACGGGAACACCTGATCTAGGTGTTCTACTACCTGGATCAGGTGCTCCCGACTACCTGATTTAGGTGCTCCGGGAACTTTGAAAATTTAAAAATTTATAAATCTACCAAACTCTCTAATTATAATAAGAATACTTATCTATATATAACGTGGTTTATCAGCGAGTCGATCATATCAGCGAGTCGATCACTTTTCCTTGGCACTACCTCCTCAAACTTCAACACACGTTTTCTTCAACTATTTACCATGGAAATTCAAACTCAAGAAGCGCGAATTACTCTAGCTATCGAGGCTATTCGGTCGTCCAAAAAACTAAGCAAACGCTCTGCGGCAAAGATCTACAATGTACCATATACGACTCTTTCCGACAGAATGGCTGGCCGAACCTACCGCCCAGATTCTCAAGCCAATTGTCATAAGTTGACTGAGTTAGAAGAGGAAGTGATTATTCGGTATATACTGGATATGGATTCCAGAGGATTTGCGCCCCGGCTCGCTGGTGTAGAAGATATGGCTAATTTTATCCTTGAATCGCGGGGGGGAAGACGCGTCGGCAAGCTCTGGGCCCATCGATTCGTACAACGACAACCAGACCTTAAGACGCGTTTTAATCGCGTTTACGACTTCCAGAGGGCCTTATGCGAAGATCCTGACGTGCTAGGCGCATGGTTCCGGCTAGTAGAGAATATGAGGGCGAAATATGGGGTTACAGACTCCGACTTCTACAACTTCGACGAGACAGGCTTTATGATGGGTGTTATTTGTCCTAGAATGGTTGTTACTCGTGCAGACCGACGTGGTAGAGGCAAGGCAGTTCAGCCAGGCAATCGGGAATGGGCTACAGCAATTGCCTGTATTAATGGGGAGGGCTGGAGTATTCCTCCATTCTTGGTAGTTCAGGGCAAGAACCATCTCTCCAACTGGTATACCGACGGCGGCCTCCCACCTAACTGGGTTATGAAACCGACAAGCAATGGTTGGACAAATAATGAAACAGGCCTGGAATGGTTAAAGCACTTTGATAAACACACTACAGCTCGTGCAAAGGGTCTGTATCGAATACTAGTTTTGGATGGGCACGAGAGTCATGAATCGGCTGAGTTCCAAGACTACTGTACGAAACACAACATTATTACTCTTGGACTACCTCCTCATTCATCCCATCTAACCCAGCCACTTGATGTTGGGTGCTATAGTGTGTTAAAACGAGCGTATGGTCGGCAGATTGAGACGTTTATCAAGGCCCATATCAACCATATTACAAAGGTTGAGTTCTTTCTAGCCTTTACAGCAGCATACAAGGAAACAATGACAGTCCTAAACTGTCAGTCTGGATTCCGCGGAGCTGGCCTAGTACCATTTAACCCGCAAGCAGTGCTTTCAAAGCTTGACGTAAGGTTACGGACTCCAACTCCCCCTCGGACGTGTAGTGCCAACTCCCTCCCCTGGGTGTCCCAGACCCCTTCCAACCCAACTGAAGCCCTTTCACAATCAACTCTTGTACGAAATCGTATAGCCTGTCATCAAGGAAGCTCGCCAACTCCACTTTTTCAAACAGTTGCTGCGTTAGCAAAGGGTACAGAGCGAATGGCACATGAGATGACCCTTTTGTCTGCTGAGGTCCGTACCCTTCGCGCTGCAAATGAAGCCCTAAGTAAACGCCGTAGGGCTAAAAAGACTCGTGTCCGCCAAGGAGGGGCACTTATAGTAGAGGATGTACAGGATATGTTAGCTCAGGAGGATGTAGATGAGCAAGTACGACGCGACATGCGTGAGGCGGGGGTTGGTTATAAGGAGGGGCAACCTTCTAGGCGGCGCTGTAGAACTTGTGGAAAAGCTGGTCATAACGCGCGAACTTGTCAAGAAGTTATAGATATATCTAGTTCGTCAGATATAGAGAGCGATAATTAATTTAATATATTGTGGTTGATTTATTTAGGTGTAAAGTTCTGTGCCAAGAAGAAGTGATCGACTCGGTGATATGATCGACTCGCTGATAAACCACGTTACCCTTAATATATTATAGTATTCTAAGTACTATAGCGTTAGCTATAAACAATTTTGTTTCGGTTATTCTTTAAAAAATCCCCCCTCTAAACTCCCTTGGAATTTTTAACTTTCCTCGCTTAGTACCTAGCTAGGTACTAAGCTAGTACTAGGTAGTACCTAGTACTTAGTCGGGCCGGTCAGAATAATACCTAGGCGCGCTGCAGGGCTTAGTCCGACTATCGGGAACCTAGAATAGGATACTTTTACTGGTGTTTTAAGCTAAATTACGTAACTATGCGTACCGGCTACATATGTCTGTCTGTCGGTCGTCTATCTATCTATCTATCGGTCTGTCTATCTATCTATTAGTCGTCTATCTGTCGTATAAGTCCCTCCCTCCCTCCTATCCCTCCCTACATAAGTACTGTCCCCCTTCTCTTACTTCCTCTACTCGTAAGTACTATCTCCTACTCTCTCTTCTCTTCCTCTACTTATAAGTCCCTATTCCTTTTATCCCCCTTCCCCCCTTTTCCCCCTACGCCTCCTTAGTAAGTAGGTAAGTACGTATACGTAGAAATAGTAGAATATTGGTCCGCCCTTCCTCTATATAAAGCGACAGGAAGAGGAAGGGCGGATCGGAGATAAAGAATAGTAAGAGGGGTATTTAAAACTATATATCTAGGAGTACCTGAATTAGGTGTTTTTTAGCTATTTTGCACATATATTAGATATTCCTATACTATATAGGGTAGTGTTTTAGGAGTACCTGAATCAGGTATTTTAGGAGCACCTGATTCAGGTGTTTTACTCCTACTGGGTATATGCTAAAGGAACGATATTTATAGCCGCAATATAGCAGATTGCTCTGCTATTCTTACGACTTGTAAAACAATTGTTCGGAAATCGTACCTAGCAAAAATGGAATTAGTTGGTCCACATTTCTCAGGTTACTTGTTACAATTATTCACTTGGAAGAAATAACAGGCCACGGAGGTGAAGTCGAGGTGAGGGATACAACCTTATCGCCGATCGCAGAGATAAGAGAGCGGTGGCAGTGCAGTGGCAGAAAAACAAAAGATTTGAAGCTCCCCTCTGCCCACCCGCAGGGAACAATTTCAACCTCACAACCTTTTCAATATGCCGCCCAAATTTGTACCTAGACAGCGAAAGCACAAGGTCATTGCGCGACTGAAGAACAATGGCGAAAAATCACAGCCTCCCGTCGTCGATTCCAATGCCGCCGAGCACATTCCTGCAGCGAAATCCGAGCTCGAGGAGAAGAAACTCCGTATGAAAGAGGAACTGCGAAAAGAAGGGCAGAAGATCAGCGGAAAGAGAGCAAAGCGATTGGAGAAATATATCGATATCAAACTAAGAAAGGACGAAAACAGAGAGTTGATTGCGAGATTGGCGAACTCGAAAACCGATACCAGTTTATTTCAGAGCAGTAGAAAGTTAGGCCAGGGACGAGAGACGAAGAGAGAGAAATTGGGCAGGGCTCTGCGGGCGCAGCAGGCTGGCATTGATCTGGATAGTGATAATGACGATATTTTATTCGAGAAACGAGTCGTTCGTGAAGTTGGGGACAAAGTATCTCCCGACGAGGACGAGGATGAGGACGAGGAGGACGATGGGCAACCAACACCAGGAGGAATTTTCCAAGTGCCCGTGGCAAAGGCTGTCGCAGTGCAACCGGCGACAATTGCTGTCGGATCTGGGTTGAAAAGGCCGCTGGATTTGGGAGAAGACGGCAAACCAGTATTAAAGAAGAGAAAACGAAGAGGGGGAATAAAGTCAAAGGTTTCACTCATGCCGGAAAAGCCAGAAGAGCCAGAGTGGGAAGGGTTTAGTTCTGCGTCGGAAGCATCGAGCAATACAGACGAGGATTCTCAATCTAGTGCAGACGAGGATGGACAGTCGGTGGTCTCGGGAGAGGAACAAGAAAATGATCAGTCAGAATCGGGATCTGATTCTGATTCAGAGGAGGAAGATTCCGAAAAAGAATCATCAGAAGATGAGAGTGAAGGAGATGGTGAAGATGAGAAGAAGGAGCGGTCTTCAGCTTTCAAATCTTGGGCAAATCAGCAAGTAAACGAAGCTCTGGGATATGAAACTGTATCAAATGTCGCAATGGCAACAGAAACACCCAAAATAGAAGGCTTCCAACCAAGAGCTCCAGAACAAGATCCGCTTCCAAATGAGTTGCAACCTACCACAAATGTTACTAGAAAGGCGTTTAGTGTCCCAGTTCAGCGTACCTCTGAAATTCAAACAGTTCGGCTGCAACTTCCAGTTGTCGCTGAAGAACAAAAGATCATGGAGGCAGTGCACAATACCAATCTGGTGGTTATTTACGGGGCAACTGGATCAGGAAAAACTACACAAGTTCCACAGTTTTTGTTCGAAGCAGGTTATGGTTCTCCAAACTCACCAACACCAGGAATGATTGGTGTTACGCAACCTCGAAGGGTGGCGGCAGTCAGCATGGCCAAGCGTGTTGGTGACGAAATGGGAGACCATGGTGAGAAAGTTGCTTATCAAATTAGATTCGAGGGGACAGTGAAAGCACAGACTGCCATTAAATTCATGACCGACGGTGTACTTCTGAGAGAAGTTGCACAGGATATTGCTCTTCGAAAATATTCAGCAATTATCATTGATGAGGCTCACGAAAGAAGTGTAAACACCGATATTTTGATTGGCATGCTCAGCAGGGTTGTGAAATTACGAGAAGAGATGGCAGCTGAGGATAACTCAATTAACCCTTTGAAGCTTATTATCATGTCAGCTACATTGAGGATTACTGATTTTACACAAAACAAGACGTTATTTTCGAAACCACCGCCAGTACTTCAAGTCGAAGGAAGACAATATCCTGTCACAATACATTTCACCAGAAGAACGAATCATGATTACGTTGAGGAAGCTTTTAGGAAAATAAGTAAAGGTCATCGAAAGCTTCCACCAGGTGGCATTCTAGTCTTTTTGACAGGACAAAATGAAATTACCCAACTCAGCAAGAAACTCAAGGAAGCATTCCGGATTGGACACACTTCTTCTGGGCCGCAAGTTCGAATCTCTGGTAAAGACGCGCCTATTGAGGCGGAAGATATTGATTTTGGCGATTCTGTTATGGAGCAAGACGACGACTATGATGAAGATGATGATCTCGACATCAATGTCGATGAGGAGGATTTCAAATTAGAGGGCGAAGAAGAAGAATCCGGTCCCGCCAAGATGCACATCCTTCCACTCTACTCATTGCTGCCAACCAGAGAACAATTGCGTGTGTTTGAACCTCCACCTGACGGATCTCGACTTGTTGTATTAGCAACCAATGTGGCTGAAACCAGTTTAACAATACCAGGAATTCGGTACGTTTTTGATTGTGGTCGGTCAAAGGAGCGAAAATACGATAAAGATACTGGTGTACAAAGCTTCGAAATTGGTTGGATCAGCCAAGCAAGTGCTAGTCAACGAGTTGGTCGTGCTGGACGTACCGGACCGGGTCATTGCTATAGACTCTACTCGTCTGCTGTGTACGAAAGAGACTTCCAAGAATTTGCTGAGCCCGAAATCTTGAGGATGCCAATTGAAGGTGTTGTACTTCAACTGAAAGCTATGAACTTGCAGCATGTTATAAACTTCCCTTTTCCTACACCGCCTGATCGCCAAAGTCTTGCAAGCTCAGAAAAGTTGTTAACATATTTGTCTGCTATATCTCCAACTGGCCAAATTACATCAACTGGTGCTACTATGTCAATATTTCCACTATCTCCTCGATTCGCAAGAATACTACTTGTTGGACATCTACATAATTGCCTGCCATATACCATCGCTTTGGTAGCCGGATTATCAGCAGCCGATATATTTATCCCAGAAAACCAAGTTGTTCCCGTCATTCCACCCAAAGGGGAAGATGAGCATTTCACGAGCGCCGATCGAATCGCTGAGGACGCAAGAAATACCATCCGACGCCAATTCAACAAGGCCCAAAAGGACTGTTGCTTCCTGGATGACAAATCAGATGCCATCAAACTCCTCCAAGTCGTTGGCGAATTTGCTCATGAGCCAACAGAAGAATGGTGTCGAGAACATTTCGTCCGATACAAAGTGCTAAAGGAAATCCTACAACTTCGACGACAAATCACAGATCTCCTCCGCACAAACATCACCGCCTTCGCAGGCCTCAAATACCAAGAGAAACTCGATCCCCCATCCACCAAACAAGTCAAGGCCCTCAAACAGATGGCCGCATCCGGCTTCATAGACCACATCGCCATCCGCGCAGACCTATCCCCCAACCCACCCGCCATCCATCGCAAACCAACCCGCGCAATCGACGTCCCCTACCTTACCCTCTTCCCCACCCACCTCCGCAGCGACGACGAGGACAAAGCCGTCTACATCCACCCCTCCTCTCCCCTGGCACACCTCAGTCCCCAAGAATGCCCCGATTACATCGTTTACTCCTACCTCCAACGTGCTGCTCCTGCGGCCGCTACGCCGGAGAAGATCCCGAGGACCAGAATGCATGCTCTTACTGATATCACTGGGGGCCAGATTGCGGCGCTGGCGAAGGGGACCCCGCTGTTGCATTATGGGAAGCCGATTAAGGAGGTTATGAGGGGCAAGGAAGGAGATGGGGGTGTGCGGGAGATCTGGGTAATTCCTTATTTGAGGTCGGAGGGCACGGGAGGGGTTGGGTGGCCGTTGCCCGCGAGGAAGTTGGAGCAGAGGAAGGTTGCTGGGAGGGGCTGGGTTGTTGGTTGAGTTATTGGATGGCAGATGAGGAGAATATAATCTTACCGTCAATATTATACTTGATTGCATTTTTTGCCGTCTGGGATGCTGATTGCGTGTTTTTGAGCCATCTGTTTCTTCCCACCTAAAACCGTCTATTCAGAACCCACCACCACGTGAACGAAATAAGCTGTGGCGTTTTTGAACTTGATATTACTTTTTTGTGAGACTAATGTTTGTCATTAGTACGTACAGTATAGTGGATTTTAGGTAAAATATATTTTCCCTTTCAGAAGCAAAAGATAGGTAGCAAGTGAAAAGTGGTAAGTGAAAAACGGCCATGTGACCAGCGGCTAAACATCGGCCTTTGACACACGTGATAAAGGCCCCACTCTCAGCCCTTCGCCTTGAGTATTTTATAACGACAAACAAGTAGATCACTGCAACCAAAAAAGAAAAACGGGGACAGTTGGGAGGTGCCAGGCGTGGTTCACTCGGAATTCTGCACCGTGTGCTGTGGATCGAGGATGACAAGGATTAAGCCATTAACATAGCCGGTCAGGGCTAGCCTTTTGCTTTTTTGATGATTGGATTATTCTTTTTTGTTCTCTTGTACGAGTATTCAGTATGATATCTTAATCTCCTCTCCTAGATTCTGGATTATAACTAGTAGCTTCTCAGTATCTTTTCGTAAGGGATGAGTTTGAAACCTTTAGATGTAGTGTAATCTTTACTGGTGTCCTTGATTAGTCCTTCTTTTGGATAGTATGTATGAATTTTGCCAGATCAGTAATGAAATTTTAGGTACAAGGGTAGTTTTGAAGATGTAATTGATAGATGGACATCTTTTATGGGTACTGGCGACTAGGTCGTGGGCGTCTTGTGAGACTTAGTTGTCAGTTATTGTGAATCTGATGTTTGGTTTACTAAGCTTATTAATCCTTTGCGAGAAAATTATAGACTTGAAAGATCTATACTGTACTATGAATTACAAGACCTGTACGTGCAGATGATATCGAAAGTCTGGTGCAAACTTGCGATTGGGGGAAAGGATGGGCTACCTTGAAGCGTTGGTTTTGGGTTTCGATCTTAGTGTTGGTGTTACTAAAGAGGAGGGGGGTTGGGATAGAAAGGGGGTTTTGAGGGTGGAGGCAAATGTTGGGGTATTTGTATAGGAATAAAGGGGTATGATAGAGGTATTGAACAGGTGCGTTATGAATCGGTTGGAGGTTTACGTTGGTAGTTTTAACCAGGAACATTAAGGACTGGGAAAAGGCGTTCAATTCTACATTGAAGGTGTTGAGGAAGGTTTTGCTGTTTTGGTTATTTTTCTTTTGTCTGGTAGTATAGAGCAATTGGGTGAGCGAGTAACGCTATAATTGAGAGCAGTCGCTAGTGAGTAAAGTTAGATGACGAACCCAGATGAAAGTATAGGGAGGGCAATGGACGTCTTAGACCTGCTAGAGTTTCACTGTGTTACCAGGCCCACTCTTGGTAAGGCTAAGATTGATTGAACTGGTCCACTAAATTTACGGTACTGGAAAGTTACATTAAAGAAGTGATAGGCCAAACAAGGGGATTCTTGGCGTTTTTACAATCAACTCTCTACTTGTCTTTAACTTTATTTTCTCAAAGTATCAACCAACCGACTTCTACTGATTACACAGACAACATTCCAATTCAAATAGGGCTCTAGTAGTAGACATTCACCAATACTTGCGGACTTTCACATCGTATTATCTTTATCTTTGAAGCCAACTCCTCAACTTAGAACCCTATCAAGCAGCACGTTTTCACATTTAACTCCGAACCTCAAGTTTGAGAGTCTTACTTACGCCTTTAGACCTTCTCTAAAGTATCAGACTTTGAAATTCGACAAGACTCGGCTTTATCTTCAACTCAATACCCCGATCCGAAAGCCAATAAGATGGTTGTAATTGGCGGTCCAACCTCTGAAATAGAGGTTCGCCTTCGAAAGATCACTGGCACTGGCGACAATTTAGATCCAATTTACTTCGACGAATACGCCTCTACGTCAGAAAGAGAGCCCCAAGACAACCTACGAAAAGAACGCTGTATTGTCCCCGAAGATATCAACTACGCCATTGAGGTTGTCTTCAAGAAGGGGTTTACCATCGGAAAATATGACGCGGAATGGTGCATTTACGTTCGTGATTTGAGTTCAAAAACTCGACTTTTCATCAAATGGTTTTGTTTTCATCCCCATTTCAAGGAACGCAGTCATAAGGAAGACCAAATCTTTGAGTTCTCGTCTGTACCTCAGGCACTAGTCAATGGGGAAGTCCGAGAGGATGTTGAGCTTTCTTTTCGACGATTGGTTCCAGGTAAGTTCTATATTCTTGGTTCCTCTACTGTGAACCCCCGCTAAGATAAAAAGACGAAACCTTGGATCCAGGAATTAGGAAAGATGGTGCCACTTCCAAGCAAAAACGAGGCTTAAAAGTAGTTGTTTGTCGAGTGAGCAAGAAACGTAGCGAGCCCATACCTCAAAAGACTCTTGACGATCGTATGGCTCGCTACAAGGAACAGATTTCCAGAAATGTCGACACCTTGAATAAACCATTGACGATCAGCGAGAAAGAATTTTGCAAAGAGGGGATATCACATGAGACTAGGCATGAACAAATTATTCCAAACAAACACGCTCATACTAACCTGATTTTATCAGCTTGACAGGCGGCACATTGTCCGCAGCCCCTCATTCCAAACCACTAAAATTGCATGCGACTGCAAAGTACCAAGAGTCTCACCATTATTACTTTGTGCTGCGTACAGCCGGTGAGTATGTCGCATGCCTCATTTCGTAGTCTAATGTCATTACAGATTATATCGAGCACAACGGTTTCCGCAAGGCCCCGGTACTATTGGAAATGTCCTCTTGGAACGTCTTGAATTACCAGGAAAAGCAAAGATGTTTTAAAGTACTTCAGGTAAGCTTGTTTCCCAAGCCCATCATTTGTTATCATCGCTAAACGCCTTTGAAGGACAGAGAACAGGAGTTAATATTGCAGCGCGAAATATGATCCAAAGCTGGCCCAGATGCAGACGAAGAGGATCTTCGGCGAAAGCTCTTTTATGAAGCAGGAGAATTCCCAACGCGTTTGGCCCCATGGAATTACCATCTCCCTGAAGCGAGGGAAGCTATCTTCAGGACTCTCCAGGTTGGAATTTCTCTGATTAACTCTGATTTATGCTAATGTAATCACCTTAGGAACGTGTCACGTATTTTGAGAAAGGCGAGACGCCCCCAGAAGACTTACCTCAATCAGAGACCAACAGACAATCACCACCCGTCGCTGTGAAGGAGGAGGAAATGGGACCCCCAAATAGCCATGCTCCAACCATAATCGACCTGGACTCAGACTCTGAAAACGATCCCATTCGAGCTGCACCTTCTGCACCCAACACCATTCGAGCTAAGGCAGCTCAAGTTGTTAAACCAACCCTTTCGGACACAGGAGGTACCTTACAATCACCGATTGACCTTGAGGGCTATAGGCCATCTACTTCGCTTCAACAATGGATGCCGCGTACTATCAAGGGAGAGCCAGTCGACCGTAGTTTATTTGTATCACCACCGCCAATTCTTTGTAATGAGGAGGAATTTGTCAAAGTCAAGAGCGAGATAAGAGCAGCCAAGACCACAGTCGCATTAAAGAGAGAGTATGACGAGAGCGCGACTGAAACTTTAGAGAAATTAAAGAGGGAAAAGGAATGACTCCAATGTCAGTTCTTCTTGGGCTCGTTACTGTAATAGAAATCATCTCAATCTTTGGCACAACTTCAATTGTCCGAGAATATCCGATTCTCTGATGTATCCTTATTCTTGGACAGAAATGCTACGTGTTACTAGTCAAAGTGCTTCTATTTGTCACTCGCGTATGTGAAGAATTGGTTTTGGGCTTTTACAGTGGATACAAATACACGTGATCAAACCCGCTTCGAGCAGACAGGGGTAGTCTTCGTTAGTTAGATATTTCTTTCTGTGAAGAGATCCCTCTTACTCTCCCCTGGGAGATATTAATCGATATCCACACTTGTATTGTAGTACTAGAAAGCGTAATTCAAGAATTGATATATGAAGTGTAAAGTTTGAGATAGGGTAATATCCTACTTAAGTGCCGGAAAATAAAAAGGATCGGCTGATTATCGAGAAGGAGAATCCGATTTCCATTTAAATCTTTTAATTGCTCCATAGATTCTTATACAATCAGACAAAATGAATATTTTTGCGATTTTTCTTAACAAAAGTGCTTGTGGTAGCACAGGCGTTCCTTGTGGACAGTAATATTTCTCCAGAAATCGTGAACATCGCTATCTAGATATCGATTACCAGGAGATGCATTTGGTACAACAACAGTTCCAGATGGATTGAAACAGATTGTTCAGAAGGAAATAACTTGATTAGACTAAGCAGAGTTTCCCACGAGCAAGCATGCGGAGAAGTGAAATTCCAGCGAATTACTTAAACCGTCTACAAGTCTTTCGCCCTCAGAGCAATATTAACCACTGAAGTACACCAGACGCTACATCCGCTTCCTCTGTCAACTCATTACTTTGCCTTCGTCACAATATCATCTTCAACATGGATAGTGGTAGGCTTCGCCATATCATCATGACGTGGAACTGTAGCGGTACTCTCATGAATCTCATGATGTGCCTCCTCATCACCAGCGATTATCTTCTCTGCAAGTTCCGTAACACCAAACAGGTCATCCATCCTATTCCATATTAGCAACGACCCACGATCTCAGACTTGGGATGATAAAGGCGGTACTCACTTCTCTAAACTCAAACCCTTCGTCTCGGGGATCAAAAACCATACAAAGAAGAACATGGACAAACAGAAGCTCCCGAAGATGAAATATGTCCCGTACCCGTGCGCACCAACTGTGTCCAACATATGTGGCACGGCTTGCGCAACCACGAAATTGAATAACCACTGCGTCGCAGCTGCAATCGCGACATTCATAGCGCGTAATCTTGCGGAGGGGATTTCCGACACGATGATCCAGCAACATGGTCCCCAGCCGAATTGGAAGAACGCTGCGAAGAGGAAGATACATGTTAATGCAAAGTAACCGACTGGTGGAATCGGTTGGTCTTTTAAGGGTGGTGAGAAGCGAACATAGAACCCTATCACGAACATGGCGAGACCTTGTGCGATAGAAGTCCAAAGGAGGGAGCGACGACGGCCGAGAGAGTCGGCTGCCACGAGGAGGAAGATTGCGCAGGTTACCATTTTTACGACGCCGTAGATTCCAGTTGCGAATAGACCTTGTTGTTCTTTCTAGACGATGTTAGTGGTATTCATTGTGAAAATATCTGTTGATAGAAAGCTTACTCGAATACCAAGATTGGCGAATATCTGTGGGGCGTAGTAGTTGATGGCGTTGCTGGATATAATTAGCCGAGGGTTGAAAGGGGGTATTGTGGAGGAACACTCACGTTCCAGTCATCTGTTGACAAATCATCAGACCGATTGAGACAAGAGCGCGATTACGATTTCCCTTGATTAGCCACATTTCCTTTTGTAGATCCCAGAATCCAGCACCGCCGATCAAAAGTCTCTCATTCTCGAGTTGTTCTCGCATCTCGTCTAGTTCCATTTGGATATAGGAGTGATCGGTAGGTAAGCTAATGGAGAAAAGTCAGCTTGATTCAAAGGACTCAGGTTGTTGAAACTTACTTTCGGAGTCTAGCTAGGACGGTAGTGGCCTTCTCCCAATTATCGTCTCGTGCCAGCCATCTAGGCGATTCGTTGCAGAGTGCGATCCCAAGAAAGAGAGCCACAGCTGGCAGGCCTTGTAGCGCCAGAGGGACTTGCCATTGTGCGTTTCCTTTGAGCGTAGTAGAAGTACCCTGAAACGGGATTAGCATCATCTGAAGAAAGAATCCATGGACCTGAGAAATATATCCGTACATAGTTGACCCAGAAACTGAGCATAACTCCAGTCACAATAAACAATTGGTAAATACCAGTCAATCCACCCCTAATCGCTCGTGGCGCATTCTCGCTAACATAGAGAGGCGTAAGCATACTGGCAGCTCCAACACCTACTCCAGCAACTACACGTCCCACGTAAAGTGCCGAGATATGTCCGCTAGAAGCAGTTTGGATGATTATGCCAACAATTGTAGTGCCAGAAGAGATGAGCAATGACGGCTACAATAGTAAATTAGCTCGACAAATTTACAAGACCCAGAAAGAGTACCTTTCGTCCAAATTTATCAGCAAACCAATATGCGAATAAACTTCCAAAGAAACAACCAGCCTGAAGTACACTGACAACTAGCAAGTATTAGCTTTGACTCCAAGATATGTATTCTGAAGGAAGACGCACTATTACTCGTCAAGGTGGCTGTCTGATGCGAATCCAAGCCATCAATCTTAAAAGCTCTGCCACATCATTAGTATAATGCAAGTCCGAAAATCTGAGAACGTAATCTTACTTTGCAAATGATTTCATAACCAGGATACCTCCAATAGAACCAATATCTGCGGAATTTTAGAATGCTATTCCCAACTTTCAGTGAATCTGTGTGACCCAACATACCCCACCCAAATAGCATGCCACCAAAACAAGCACTTGCTGATAAGAAAAAGACCTTCCATCCTGTTTATTCGTAAGCCTCCACTCTCATTTGCAAATTGGCATTGGTGTGTACCGTAGATTTGAGGTGGATCACTGGCACAAAGCAGTTAGTATCATCCCAGGTGTTATTTCTCAGGATACAAATACTCACGATTTCATAGCATCATTCTTAACAACTCTCTGTAGCAACCCCATATTGATAGAGTTCTCCGTGGGCACTCGAATGTCAATCTCTCAATATCCGACAGGTTTCGTAACCTTTTCGAATACTCACGTAGTATCAGAAACAGAACAGAGTCCAACAAGAAAGCTGGTGCAGATGCGCAAGGTGATATGTATGCTCAAAATACCGGTAAGATGCTGGTACATGTACTGCACACTTTAAATTTGGTGAGGTCGAAAGTAACAGGGGTTGTTCACCCCCCTTGGTGATTCCCACGAGTCGCACGGTTAAACAACATTTACCCCTCCAATCATTCATCCAGAAATTAATAACTACCGGCAAACCTCCTTTTACCTAGAACGCCACCGGAGGAATGGGGTCATTCGAGTCGGAAATCTGCAGACTTACAGTTCACCTCCATCATTATTACCGGTTCCAATCCAATTGAGTTGCAACATCACATCCCTTCATCTCCTACCTACCTATTATTATACTCCTTCAAAGAATCTTATTCAAACCTCCATTTTCTCCATAAATTTGACACAAAACAAGCTCACAACCCAACTCTCCACCCCACAACCCCCACGTTAGCGAATCCGGGGGAGATCACCACCTCCACACCAACCAACCCCCGCAATCCATCGTAATAACCACAAGTCACAAACCAACCAATCATCGCCTTCTGTTCGGTCCCGCCTCAATGTCAAAACCAAGCAAGCCAAGCAACTCGTAAGACACAAACGGCAATTAAGCAACGAGCCCCGCATAAAGACCTTCCATTCACTCTCACTCATTCTAATTGATGGAAACGACATGTTTTTGCGTCGCACCAATGAGAACAGGTGGTGGACCGGTGTGTGAAGTGGTGATAATGGGAAAACCAAGAAGGGAAAATGGAAAATCCACAAAAGAGATGTCAAGATATATTGTACGTGCCGCATATGTGCTTAAATCTCTCAATTTTTGAAGGAATTCATTGGGAGAGTAAGCTGCGTGATCAATAAATGGCTTTTTCCCGTCTGTAGCGGAATTCCTTGTCAGGTGGGAGTTTCCCTTTCTCCAATCCTCTGGAATAGAAGACGAAGAAGGGCTTCATTTTCTATCGTATGCAGACAAATCAATCTAGAAGTGGCTTTCGTCAAGACTTTCAAGATATTATTGATTACCTCTCGAGCTGAGTATTCCCAAAGCTCGGTAATCAGTAAGCAATCACTTTCATCTCGTGCGTGAGACATGAAAGGTTTCTGTGTAACTCCAACTTAATGTTTCATGTGCAAGTTACGGTCCACATATTCATAGTCGTCAAGCAAGTGTATATGCGGCGGCGTATAGCATTTTGCTCTAATACTCCGTATATGTGGGGAGGAAAGTATGTTAGACCAGAAAGCCTGGTGACACACGGAAAAGCACATTCACCACGAGTATTTTCTTTCCGATTGTAATACAGGATGGGTAGGCGTACTGCATCTCACCATATATTTCATGTGAGGAATGCGGGAAGGCACGTCAAACCACGAATTTTGTTCATTTGACTGCAGGTGTCATACGACTTCAATACGACATTATTGGCGTTAAATGGTCTATGGGACATGGGGTAATATATGTATAAGTCTACGGTTTGGCCACTAATTGATCAACACTCCCTCAACTGTCGATTTGAGCTGTTTATGACGTAACTACAACCAAGTACAGTACATACATTCCACTACATAGTCCAAACTCCAAAGGAAACCATTTCCAGCAATCAATACCAAATCTCCAAAAACACTAAGTGGAGGTAGAGCTGTACAATATAGTATTATCCGAGTTCTCCTAGATGCAGTTGCAGATTCCGAGACGTTGAGATAAAAAGAATATATATGGATTAAACTACAGACCCATTTCCACTTTCTTTGCTTCGATATTTTGTTGTAAGAATAGCTACACAACCACTCCTATTCCCTACCTAGACATAATACATCGCAATCCCATCTACCACATTCCACTCATTACAGCAACCCTCGTTTCTACCAACCATCTCTATTCCCACCTACTTCCTTACGTATCCTTCTTTTTATTACTCTACCTATAAAATCAAACTATAAACTCCTTTCCACTTACTTCGCTCAGACATTCCATCTCTAGAATAGCTAAATACACAAAAATTCCTATTCCCTACCTCCCCTAAAAAAGGAAAAAGCACCGCGAACCACATTCCACTCACCAACCTTAATTCGAACACCCACGCCTATTTTAACCACTTCCCCACCAACCCATCCATCCTTATTACTCAACCCAGCGCTCAAAAATAAAAGTCTCAGGCCCCCAGAACCAGAACCAGAGCGCCTCTTGACCTCCAGTACCTCCAAACTCCTCCCTCTCTACGAGCAATCACAATCCAATACCGGGCATTGAAGTAGCACCCATATCATCAAATTTGAGGATCTGTTGCAGATATGATTACGAGTACAGAACCACACACCCGCTATTTACTCCCTCTACTAATAATAATTAAGTGGTATAGAGCAACGTTCGCCACACGGAACTATATTCCATGGAACTATTCTATTCCATTCCAACTGGAATCCTTTCATAGCACCTTTATGATGGAACTGTTATATTCTATTGATTAGTCTGGAATTCCGGGACTTGCATAGAATTCCACTTATAGTGAATATTTACATATATTCAAGTGAATCGCCGTATTCAGATAGAGCGATAGAGGACTTTTACGTGATATGTCTCGGACACTTAATACCTATATGTTATTAGCACTCCTAGGGGATTTCTCTCTACTCCCTATATACAAAGGCGCTATTGCGGTCAAAAGAGCGCTTCCTATTAGCCTACTGGACAGGGCATCGGACACATTTTTCGTGTCATGTGACGAATTCTATATATTCCATAGAATATCTCCTGGACCGTACGAGGGGTTTTTCAATATAGATCAAGAACGTGCACGGATTTTTTGGTGTAAATCTTGGTACGAAAAATCACGGGGTACTAATTCCCTGTCAGAAAAACCCTCGGGCGATCTAGGAGATATGCCTCTAGAAGAGCATACTTCCAGAGGACTCTGAAATAGAATAGATTTCCAGTTGTCGAAAGTTGGTAATATAGAGATCGTAGTATAATATAAGAGTACAGAGTAGTGGATGATGAAAGACGGTACTTATACACAGCGAGGTATTAGTATCTTTAGAAATATACAGTTTCGTAACATATGAAAGTATTATTATACATAACTTATAACTTATATATAACGTGCATGTATAGCGAACCGGCCAAACAAGCGAACCGGCCAAAATTTTCTACACTCGCGATTGAAATTGTATGAACTCTACCACAACGCCTCTAATTAAAAAACACTATTCAGAAATTTCTTCCTCAGATACTTCCTCTATAATATTACAGGTGCGCGTATTATGACCAGTCTCTCCGCAGTTGCCACAGCGCCGTGCACGTGATTCTTCCCTCGGCTTCCGACCACTACTTCTCTTTATTTCCTGCATTACCTGCTCACCAACGTCTCTATCATCCTGTAGGTCCTGCGCTTCCTGTTGACTAAGTGATCCTCCTTGCTGTAGGCGTGTTTTTTTAGCTCTACGGCGCTTACTTAGTACTTCATTTGCTTGTCGAAGTCTCTGGTTCTCAGCTTTCAATAGTACTATCTGGTGCATTACTTTTGATGCACCCTTCGTAAACTGGTCAATGGCCTCGTAAATAGGGGTTGGAGAGCTACTTTGGTGGCGTAAAATTCGATCTTTAATAAATGCAGTCTGTGATAAGGCTTCAGTAGGGTTATTTGGTGTCTGGGAAACCCAAGGCTGAGCGGAATACGGGGGGGAGTTTGGAGGCGTTGGCGTCTTTAGCTTAAGATCAAGTGTAGAAATTACACTTTCTGGGTCAAATGGAAGAAGCCCAGCCCCTCGGAACCCTCCTCGGATATTGCTTTCTGTCATTGCAATATTAAATGCGGCGTGGAAGGCAGGAAAGAAATCATCCTTAGTAATATGGATGATCGGAGCCCGCATCATATCTTCAATTTGCTGACCATATGCCCTTTTCAAAGGGCTAAAACAGCCAACGTCGAGTGGCTGGAGTATATGAGAAGAATGAGCAGGCATACAAAGAGTGATAATGTTGTTTTCCTTGCAATATTCCTCAAATTCGTCGGAGTGGTGGCTTTCATGGCCGTCGAGGACTAATAGACGATAACCACCAATAGATTGGGACTTTGTATGCTTCTCAAAATGTCGAATCCAATCCATGCCTTTCTCATTTGTTGTCCAACCATTTTCAGTAATAGCAATCACCCAGTTAGGTGGAAATCCACTGTTTTGGTACCAAGAAGCGAGGTGATTTTTTGCGGCATCACAAACGGTGGAACACACCAGCCTTGGGCATGAACCCCCTGGATTACTATAACCCATTCCCGATTACCAGGCTGTACTATTTTTGCTTTTACACGTCCTTCTGAGCTTGTAATAACCATTGCAGTTGAGATAACGCCCATCATAAACCCAGTCTCGTCAAAGTTGTAGATATCTGCATCGTAGATTCCGTACTTCGCTATTGTGTTTCGTAGAAGCTCAAACCAGCCACGAATGACTTCTGGATCTTCGCACTTAGCTCTCTGATAGTCGTATTTTCGTTGGAAGCGTGTCTGGAGTTCTGGGCGGCGATTAACAAAGTTATAAGCCCAACGCGTCCCGACGCGTGGCGCGTCGCGTGCTTCAAGAAGTCGATTTGCTATATCTTC